TTGTTGTTGTTGTGGTTGGTTGGTTGGTTATCTTCATCACCTCCGTCATCTCTATGTTCACTTGAAGTCCTGTCTTTTCCTGGCTGCTTCTTTAGCCACTCTGTTGGTTTTTGGCCTACAAGTCTTCGAGTTTATGTGACAGTAGAAATATATCATCTACGAAATCCAGATCTTCAAAAGTCTTCTTATCGGTGGTCCGGCCTACTCCTATCTCCTCACCCCAACAGTCTGACGCATTATGCAGTCCACCACAATTAAGAATATCATCGGTGATAATAGGCAGCCAGCTTGTCTTACTCCTGTATTCACTTCGAACGCCTCGCTGAGTTCTACGTTGCGGATCACTTTACACGTGGCACTGTCATGTAGCCAGCTGTTGCATGAGGTTGATAATGACTTGAGGTATGCCGCTTCCATATAGCCATTTGCAAATAAAATCAGTTCACAATCACTTGCACAGATGATATTTGAAACTGTGTCAAATAATTTTTGGTGAGCCGATATTTATTAACGGTCATATGGCGTGTTTGATATTTTGTTTTTAAAACCAAAACTTCAAAATAAAAGTGTATTCATTTTATTTTGAAGGTGATGAAAACAAACTGATCATTGAAAACTTTCGTACTGCATTAATTCAGCTTTTTTCGATGTGAAAGTTTTAATCATGCAGTAAGACATGTACTTGTAGCAAATCACTTCAAAAATTCCATAATCTGAATGTTTATTGTGCTAGAAATATTTTTAAAACAGCCAGAAGACACTTCTTGAATTCTTTGTAAAAGTAAAGGATGTAATAAGTGCTTGCGATGAGTGAATGTAATAGCGGAAGTAAGGATAACGAATTTTAGTGAATACGTGAAGTTTAAAAGCTTACGAAACGTGAGAAGTGAAATTTTGAAAATTTGTGAATTTAGAGAAAGTGTATCATATTTTTTACACCGAATAAAATAAGAGATGCTTCAATGCTACTTAGCTAAGTTTGATCACAAGGCGATGATTGACACTGAAGACGTAACAGCTACATTAGTTACCACTTCGTGAACAATCGATGAAAATGGTTAACTTGTACTAGTAGCCGGTGTTTTTGTTAATAACTTGTTATGCAGACAGTAACTTTATAAGAGAATGAAAACTATTCTGTTCTTAGTGAAAATATGAAATGTTCAAGTATTGGTTTTGTAGGGATTTTGTTTGATTGCATGGAGGATTTCATCATGAGCTGACGTCAGTCATAGAACCACTGGAAAACCTGGGAGTATTGGACAGCTGCATCGTCCTAGTTTGGAACTCTTCACAGCACGCACCCATCGGGACCAGGTCCTGGGTTTGAATCCCAGCGAGTGCGTGCTGCTGAAGAGCCCCAAACTAGGATGAAACAGCTGTCCAGTACTCCCAGGTTTTCCAGTGGTTCTCTAACTGATGTCAGCTCATGATGAAATCCTCCATGCAATCAAAATATGAAATGCCTTTCCCTTCTTACTACTGTAAAGCAAATAACTTGACTGAAGCAGGATTGTAGTCTCAATAACTCGATCATAAGTGTGCTTTATCACACCATTCTACTACTCACATGTTTGAAATAGGGTCTGTGGTACTTTTTTCAAGTATATGGAGGATTATTTTTTTAAGATCTGTGCTCCACTGCATCAAAAATGTCAAATTAATCTAGAAAAATTAGCGGACTGTTTAAAAACATCATTGTATTTTAATGGAGGTTACTAGGTAAATACTAATTTTTACAGACATAATTGTCGGATTTGGTTTACTGACGTTTATCTAACTGACAGTTAATAATGAAACAATGAAAATAGGCGAGTTTACTATATATATACAGCCAAAACTTGCAATCAACAGTTCTATTCATTTCGAATAGAGATTGTCTGTTCTGACAGCAATTATTTAGTTTTACGTAAGAGACTGTAGTGTTTCACTGGTTACTAACCCGTGTAAGATGCTTGAATATGTGTGAAACAGTTTTTGTAGGCGTGCAGTGATAGATCATCGAATGCTAATTAAAGTGATTTATGCTTCACCAGAAGATTTATGTATTGTCAAATTCTACTGAAAACCACCGAATTAGTGACAGTTAAAGTTGTAATTATCCAGTCATAGATCTTTTTGGCTAATTGATTAATCAGTGAAGTATTTTAGCTTGCCGTATACAGTCAGTTTTAGTCTGGTTGGGAAAAAAACATTATCTAGTATCTTATGTATGACGTCGTGAATATTCTTTAAAATAGCTTTAAAATAAATGATGAAGTAGTTCTAAAAATATTCTGAACTACTGATACTACAAACATTGTTTTGGTAAACAGAGCGGAGTAGTAAAGCTATGCTGACAAGTCTGTGTACGTAACAAAACTGTATTCATACGTTTGTAATTGTACCCTTTCAGTTTGAATTTACCGGGAACAAAATATATGCTTTGAAGTGACACCAAAATGGTGATTCATTGGGGGCTGACACATTTTTCACTGACTTAGGTCACAGCCATTGGCGCAAATGGTTAAAATTTCATCTACATACCTTGATACGGTTGTGAATTGTCAGTGGTCGGCTTTAATAAACCTTCATCGAGGCTTGTCATGAAACAGTCTGTTTGTGATGGATCAGAGGGAAATCCCATTGCATCCTTTTGTCTGCAGATAGTGTCACTGAAAGTGAATGGTACACTTATAGTACACCTGAGTAGCAGTTTAATCAAACATGTTGTTGGTATTCCAGTGCTTGACTCGTCATTATCTATATATTTACATCTGAACAGACAGTTTCAGTAAGTGGGACATTGGTGCAAAGTGATTTACCGTCGAAATATAATTAAATTCCTTGTCACTGGCATGTTACGCATTTGCAGTCCTGACACTCGAGAAGAAAAACTAGATCTTCTGAAAGAAATCTTCATCCGAAATGAAGATACACCGAGTTTCATTGACAAGAATATGAAACTAAAAGTTCAGAGAAAGCAAATATCACTCATTCGAAAAATTAACTTTTATATGAAGCTGAATTTCAAGGAGGACTTAATCTGCGATTTCAACATCTTTGAGAATAGTATTCTTCTCGACAGCGCGAAGAGTAGTGTCCTCTAGTCATTCACTGGTCTGCAGAAGCCTTAAGGACAAGATCTCCCATCTGACCACCGCTATTTGAATATATCAGTTATTGTCGTTCAACGCGTATCTTGTTTCAAAGGGTTCAAAAACACTATCCCACATGGCTGCAGAAAGGCAGTAGTGGCTCTATATTGAGTGCGACAGTCGAGCACCTTGTCAACACTGGTCATTCTGTCTTAACAAACGCCTCCTTCAAAAGAATCTACAGTATTAATAATTAGGTAATAGTATTATGAATACTGTATCACTGTGTCATATCAGATGAAGTTATCTATTATGGAACTGAAGAGAAATGCCCTTCTCACCAGTTTTACCGGTAATATAAGGCAGTAAGGGGAAGTCCTTACTGTTTTTTCAATATCACGCCAATTTCCGCTGGCGCTGTAATAAGCTTTTAGCTCATAATGTTCAGAGATGAGATAATGCATAGATTATTTTGGCTGATTAAAACTTTATTCTATTATGATGATTGTCGGCCTTGGAAAAGCATCTCATGTCAGACTGAAGAAATATTCACAGATAAGTGAGTTTAGTTTAATCTGTAGTTCAGTTATAAGTTACAGAGGGAAATAATGAAAGTATTAAAACATATAATGACCAATGTGTAAAAAACAGAAACGTCAATGAGCAACTTTTTGCATAAATAAAGTGCTGATTTTCCTCTGAATTTTTGCTTCAAAGTTAGCTCTATTAAATTTACTTTCTTACTAATACAACTACTACTTCATATTCACCAACTTGGAAAGCTCAAGTAAGTGGAGTCAGCTGCCTAGTTGGCATCAATTTATTTCATCTGGGCAGGTATCAGAAGCTTTTCAGTTCAACTAATCAGCTGACGTTTAAGAACTATAACGAAGATGTTGTGATAAATTAAAAGATTTTAGCTCGAGTGCTCAATAAAGAAGTCCACAGTTCACTTATTTGACTGTCCCTCAGTATTCGACAACTCGTAGTGTTCCAAAGTGATGACCGATCAACTCATGATCAAACATTCAACCAATCAGCTCTCTGCAAACCAACACTTGATAGTTAACCTTATGCTCACTAGCAACCGGCTCTATGTAGGAAGTTACCTGAAGTTCTAGTGGAAAGTCATAACTAGCAGGGTCCACCAAGTCAGATAATAGAACAGCCACTCGCCTATGAAACTGGCTTGTGGTTGCGATATATATAGTGAATCGGCAGGAGTTAGAATTCGCGAGTCACTGGATCGATTCGCAGTACCTGAATGGTCTACGAGCTCGCCTGCGTTTGCACCCCACTGGTGGGTGCAGATGAGGAGTCCCGAAATTGGGAAAAACAGCTGCCTAGTACTCCCAGGTTTCCCAATGGTTCTCTGACGGACATCAGATCATATCCAGACCTGTAGCCAATCAAATCCCCGCAAACTAACACTTGATAAGGAATTGATCCCACCGACAAATGAGATGATCCACTATTTTTATGCGTTTATGTGACAAAGTTTCCACATTCTCCTTGACGGTTTCCCACTGCAACCTTCTAGTTTCTGGGGAACGCCAATCCAGACGACCAGCTAGTTTGTATGGTACTAAGATCAGTAATCAGAAATTTCGCAGATTAGTTCCTTCTCACATGTTGATCACTCTTAATCTCCTCCTAAATTAGGTCTTTTTTATCTGACAGTACCACTGTGAGAAGGAGTCTGATAATATATGTACAGGCTGTTTAAGTCGGTATCCTGGACAAATAATAGGAAAGTCGATGCCTCATACTCAGAAAATGTTTTCTTTTCACCTGATATTTCCATGATATTTATATAAAAAAAGTTAAAAAAGGGAAGATTTATTGTCTATAAATGTTAAATAATTGTTTGCCTTTACTTTTTTCGAGTTAATTGTTGTCTATCTTTCAAAAATTTAATTGTAGGCCAGAACAAATCATAGTCATATGAGAATTCATCAACTTGAAAATATTAATAGGGCATTGGACTTTCTTTCAGAAGAAGGTGCACATTTAGAAAATGTTGGCGCACAAGATATTGTCGATGGTAATCCAAGACTAACCTTAGGTCTTATATGGACAATTATACTACACTATCAGGTGAGTCCATTTTGAAAATTGTCATTATTTTTTTCTATGCTTGAGATGAAACCACAGCTTGTGTCTAGTAAGTTCTGATATCCAGGTAAGAGTTAGTTTAGTTTCCAGTAATTCGATGACATATCACCTAGTTCGTACCTACACCAATATCTCATTACCTATTTTGACTGATGCAACTTATAATGAATTTAATAAGAGTAATACTCGAAGAGCAATTAGAGACTTGCTAATGGTAAATGTTTAACAACAGTCCTTGCCACTTCACATAATAAAACATCACCATTAACACAAACATCCACCTGGACTAAAAATCCTCAATTTGCAGATTATTTACAAATTTTACGTTCCAAACAGATGATAATTACAGCAGAGAAGTTCTCTGGTGGATAAATGCTCTCGGCAAAATGAAATCTTGAGAATCACACTACAGAGCAAGTACATGAATAAATGTTCAGTATATTTCAAAACTATCAAATCTTGTATTGATCTAGTCCGCATTTAAGCTGAATTTAGTTTGAAAACATACCTATGCTCTTTACTGCAGAAATACTAGCACTTTGAATGTAAAAACAAGACAAAATTAAAGTAGTTCCATGATAATATATACACAGAATATTAAGCTTCTTCAATTATTGGAAAAGTTCTACGACCTTGGTCAAGAAAATGTGATAAGAATACAAAGTGTGAAACTGAGTCTCAAAATTAAAATGCATATTATTCAAGTATTAGTTTTGTAGGGATTTATGTTTGAATGGTTGGGTTTGAGCCCCGGTAGGTGCGTACTGATGAATAGCCCCAAAACTAGGACAAAACAGCTGTCCAGTACTCCCAGGTTTTCCAATGTTTCTCTCTATCCCTGAGTTCCTCGCACATGTAAACTCAGTAGTAGACAGAACCAAATTCACTTCTGAGTTATAAAATGAACAAGCTGAGTTGTCCATGCTAGACTGTAGAATAAAACAAAAACTAGATGGTGGGTTAGATATTAGCATTTATGGAAACCTACACACTCTAATAAATACTTTGACTTTAAATCATCCCATCTAAAGCCGTTGAAAGCCGGTTCGAATCCCGGTGGGTGCGTACTGATGAAGAGTCCCAAATTAGGACGAAACAGCTGTCCAGTACTCTCAGGTTTTCCAATGGTTCTCTAACTAATGTCAGCTCATGAAGAAATCCTGTAAAAAATTTTTAGTCAAATGTCTATGTAATCGGGTCAAAAGTCGAACTAGTAATGCAGGATATTTCAATAATTAAGTCAAGGAGACGAAGGAAATATTACTAGTGAATAACGACCCACCAGAACTTATCAAGAGATGTTTGGAGATCCATAGGAAAAATAATGAGAATGATGAAAATGGCAAATAATATGGAACTCAAAACCTGTATAGTACTGCCATATAAAGAAGGAACATCAGAAGCCCTACATAGGATTCTTATTGGAGCTGGAATTAGGGTGGAATTTAAACCAACTAACTCTATCAGGGATAAACTTTGTCAGTTTAAAGACCTGTTAGATCTATTTAAGAAAAATAATATGATTTACCGAACACCATGTAATAACTGTTACGTTAATTGAATAGGTGAAACTAGTAGATCGGGGTTCATTAGATTATTGTAACATAAAAATTTAGAAAGACCTGGAACGATTGACCCTGTTAAGTTAAATAACCTCGAAAAATCTCAGCAGTCGCATTACATTCGCTTGCATGTAATCACACAAGAGGGCGGGGTAAGATAAAAGTACTAAAAAGTTATATAGTTAGATGGATAGAAAGGGTAATAACCAAAATCTCTCTTCATCGAAATGACAGCAAACACGTGCAATCGAAATGACGCAACGCCTATACCGGATACAGGGAAAATCGCAATAAGCAACACGGGGGAGAGAAAAAATATACGAGGCAAATTATGAAGCTATGTGATTAAATTGAAATAATTTTGATCAACAAATTGTGCTCCAAACGTCATACGGTTATCAGTGTTGAATAACCATGTGTCATGTCAAACAAACTTATTTAATATAGGGGTATGATTTGAGCTAACACTTATTCTCAATACCCATATTTGGTGCAAAATCAATATTAGCAGAACTGTCACAATATGAGAGAATGATAACTATTGTCATTTCTTCTTTTTTACGCAACGAAATATGAATTTATTTGTTTGATTATCATAAAGTGACATATCATTTACGGTGCATCCACTTTAGTTAACAGGGGAAGTTGAATTTAATTAGGTCATTCCATTTATAAGTGAAGTGTTGTGTCCATTCTGCAAAAGAGACACGATTAAACTTGATTCTACTATTCAAAAGTTACATATGCATATCCATTGTTTATGATGATGTACAACATGGTCAGTACACGTTCTTAGCATAAATTTTATGCTTTAACCTCAAGCGATATTAGTTTACCTTGTCTCCTCTTCTAAACTGATAAACTGTTATTTACCCTTGGTATCAATATTATGACTACATTTATCAATGCTTCTACCAGCGGTCAATTTCTTTTTTTTAAGTAATATTTCACACGTATAGTTGTATTATTATTATTGTTCCCTTGGGTTCCTAGTGGAACAAAGGGCTTCAACTACACGTCTCCACTTGTTTCTGTCTTCTGCTGTACTTTTCACCTGCATTCATGTTAGTCCATACTGTTTCAGCTCCTCTTCACACGATCTCCTCCATGTCACCCTTGGACGTCCCACTAGCTGCTTCCCTTTCGGGTTCCACTCGAGCTATGGCCTGACGCGCGATGTCACCCAACGGCCTCCTCAGCGAGTGTCCAATCCATCTCCACTTTCTCCTGCATGTTTGTTGAGCGATTGGTTCTTGCTTTGTTTGTTCCCATAGTTTCTTGTTGGTGATTCTTTCCGGCCACCTGATCTTGAGTATAGAGCGAAGACAGCTGTTGTATAAAGGTCTGCAACAGGCTGTTGGAAATATTCTTTGTGACTCGCCAAGTTTCTGATCCGTTGTATTAGTATTAGTATTGTATATGCATGTTTTTTCACCATAAAAACGAATCTGTGATGAAGACTGATTCCAGAATAAACCAACAAACTTATGGTATTCCTCTGTCAGTTTGTGATACTGAGGTACCGTTGAACATCGTCGTCAGTATGTCTTCATAACCTGCTTTATAGGTTTCTATCCAAACGCCTGAATGGTAACTTGTTCAACTAACAGCTTGAGGTTCATCAACCTAACATATGAACACATTATTTCTATGCATAAACACAAACTAAAGAACTTTTAAAGTTAGTATACAAATAGAAGAATTACTGCTGATTTGACTGTTTTCGATCTTTACTCCACTACTAATCCTCACTTAAAATGTACTATCAATTTTACCCTCCTTAACCCTGGAATACCCTTGTAACTTTTCTATACTAACCAACAAGCTTATTAACAATTTTCATTCTTCCCATTCTACTATTCAATTATGTAATGGCCTTCATCTCCATGCTAATTAATTAAACTACTTGTTATTGATATTAAAATTACTTTCAGTTGAGATGAACCGGCGAAATGAACAGATATCACAATATTCTGCTGAATTTGTTGTTCATGCTTTGTTCAAGTTGATTGAGGGAGGGACTTTATTCAAAAAAATAATTTTTGGATTTTGTCTTCTTATATTATGAAAACTGCGTTTAGACAAATAACTAACACTAAACTGATTGTTATTCTTTCCTCGAATTTTCTTCGAAATATTTCTGCCGAACGCCTGGCAGTAACTGGTGTATTGATCGTGTTGTCTTAAATCTATAACCGCTAGCTTAAAATTATTCTTTGTCTATACAACTTATACTGATCTTTGAATTCTATGTGTATTTCTTAAAGTCACACTTTTACAATTTTTCTCCACAGAAGTGATCTTCGTTTAGTTAATCTTCTGATCGAATTAGAGTTGATAGATGACGCTGCTAATTTATCTAATAAGGTTTTTGGTCAGTGAGATATGCAAGCCTACCTGCACTCTGTTATAACTGACTGAGGCAAAGGACTAAAAACTATACGGCTTAAGTTAATCGAATACGTGACACTATATACTACTGACTGATTGAAATGAGTAGTTGGTCAACAATTACGTCAACCAGATATGCTTACTTGTCAGACCTAAATGATCTAAGCACTGGACGGCTGTTTTGCTCGTCTGGGGCCTATATAATCAATGGTGTACTCGATCTGACTCAAATCAGTTCAAACCACACTTGAATTCCGACTGACTACTTGGGCAAATCGGCACTTAGGTCACTCTGATCTGTCCAGAAAGCACTGCTAGTTAATGTGAGTGGTATCCGACTGCTCATGACAATTAATCGATATCATATAGTATCATGCATTTATGCTTGTTCTCTTGATTGCTATTTGTGGTACTGAGCAGATGGTACATTGTGTTCTGAATGATTTCCGTTTCTGAAGGGAACTTTGCAGAGATTTCACCTCAGTTTGTGTAAATATTTTTTATTCCTTCACGTTCCCAGTGGAACATAGGGCTTCAAGCTAGAAGCCTGAAGTTTCTGTGGCAGTGTTTATGTTCACAGGATGGGGTTGCTAGCCTCATGCCCAACCTTTCCTCTTTACCAGTCTTATTACTGGCTTAGCGAGGTAAAGGAGTGCACCGGTCGGGGATCGAACCCCGGACCATATGCATGGTTAGCGAGCGTCCTAACCGCTATGCCACCGACGCACAGGATTTGTGTAAATTACAAATTGTGAATTCAGTGAAACTAGAATATTATGAAGGAATCTAAATTAATACTAATTTTACAATTATATCAAAAACATAATCGAACCACGTTAGTCATGGTTTTCAACGTTTGAATTTTGTATTTTTTGTCAACCATATTTTACAGCTTCAGTGAATATGAAGCTTTTCATATTACTGCAACAAGTAGTTGATCTTTATGCCTTACAATTTAGGAGTTGATTCAAAGGGAATCGATGACTAGTCTTACTTACTAGCTCAGTGCACTTGTGTTATGGTCTTTACCACTTAATGTCTATCTGAACATAACTCTCCATTTTGAAGTTAGAGAAGTATCAATACTATGATGGAATAACTCATCCTAGTGAAAAATTCAGGCCTACTCTCTTGATCTTACAGCCATTTTACTGTTAATCAGTTATGTAGACTAATATGATTGTAAACAGGGAAATATTATCTTTAAATGACGTTTTAGGTTTAAGCGCCAGTTTAATAAAATGGCTTTGATTCAGTGAGTTAGCTACGCGTCGACATTAAGTTTTGTTTAAATTTCTTTCGTTACCATATGCCGTATTGGTTTCAACAAGAACGTCCACGTATGATGATTAGCTTGAACATCGTGTAGCCTGGCTACTACAAATACCGTTGACTTATTATCACAAGTCATCAAGGATGGATGAAATCATGAACACCTGTCAGCTAGTAAGTGATCTATTTAACCCATTTTTAGGCAGTGTAAATCAACTGCAACAGACTCGGCGTATATAGGCGGAAACTCTTCACGATGGTGCAGATGAATTCAAAGGTATTGTAATGCGGTCCTTCTGATACTTTTAAATTTAAGACAGATAGTGCACCACTGAATTGCTCTAACGCAAAATAACATCACGAAAGAATGAAGTAAAGCATATTAAGCTTTAAAAACCTGTATTAAGAAATTTGATACTTCAAAATTTCAGTAATGTTGTCTAAAAAACTACAAAGTATCTTTCTGAAATTTATCAAAATATTATGGTTAGATGGAAAATATTTAATGAACAAATTTCTCAGGATATTTCTGAATTTTCCCTATTAATCCATTAGATAATGTAATGTAGAAAGTTTTATTGTCAAATCTTTTAAATGCTTTGTTTTAGGTTCAAGACATTATTGTTAAAGAATCCGATGAGACTGGTGAAGTTCGACATGCAAAGGATGCTTTACTACTTTGGTGTCAGTTGAAAACTGCTGGATATCCTCAGGTAATGAATACAGTGTATTAATTTCATTGTCAACAATACCAATTTTAATTATTAATGTACTGAGAATCGTGTTAATATTTGTGAAGGTATTTCTAAATGTTAGTTGGGAAAAAGACACTGTAAGCCGGCGTATACTCACTTGGAATACATCAAGAATAATACTGTTTTCGGGAGATTTTTACAAAATGGTGTTAATGTGCTTCTGCATATAATGACTAGGTGAAGAGGCTATAACACTAAATTCTTTTTATCTCAAAACTGAGTGCCCTTTGTTTTTACAGCAAGTCTTGAATATTGTCGATTGATTAAACCTCTTTGAAAAACTAGAATTAATCCATCTGATTCAAAATTATTTCGTACCTTGAAGGAGATAGCAAAGAGCAACTGAGAAAACAACAGTCTCTTCGCAAATTAATGTTTATGAATTTCACAATTAAGGTATCCTGCCAAGACAAAAAATGAAGCTTTCTTAAGAAGCCCAAGTTACGTAATTAATTATCGAAAATGCCATGTTTCTAGACCGGTGGGATGGACTGGTGCCTTTTGTCTTACAGATTCTTTAAAGAAATTGTCGCAATATTACTTACTTTAAAACAACAAGTAGTAGGTTCAGGTCTTCATGAGAATGTCAGCACTTATCAGCACGTTTCCACATACAGTCCATCACTTTTGACATCTACTGAGAGCCACCGGCAATCGAAAGATCTACGCTGTAATTAGTTGTCAGATTCCTTACGTCATAACATTATGGCGTCTTATAATGATGATTTGATTTTTCCAACAACCTGGAGTCACAATGAAATTTAAAGTAAGCACATTGATTATAGATGCCTGAAGAACAGAGGAAGTGGATTTGAAGGGTTGAATAAAAGGATTAATACATGACTAAACAGTCATAACAAAGCGAACTTTATGCGTCAACCAATAACATATTTTTTGTACACTCTCAAGAAATTTCAACCAACTTATTTTTTCACTTGACTGAATATCCATCAAAAGCTAGTCAGGTGAGGAACCATATTAAATGGAATGTCTGGGATATTCATGCCTACTTTAAATCCCAACAAAAATATCCTGCTTATGAGATCTAATGTATCATGGGAACAAGTTGCCTTACGAAATTTCATTTGAGAGAAAAATGTATTCAGGTCATTATGTCAAATGTAGGAAAGTGAAACAGAAGAAATTCTCGAGGATATTTCCTACTTATAGACCAATTTAAAGTAAATATCAATGAGATGCTCACTGGTAACTGGCCATATTCACGTAGATAGTTACCTGAGGTTCTAGTGGGAAGTCATGACCAGTAGGGTGAAGCAGGTTGGGTGTGAGGACAAATACTCGCCAAAGACATTGACTAGCGGTTTCACTATATCGTGAATTGGCAGAAATTAGAATTTATGGGCTGGCCATTGGATTGGGTCCCAGTGGCTTAATGGTATACGAGCTCGCCTTGTAACCAGAAGGCGCTGGGTTGGGACCCTGGTGGTTGCGTACTGATGAGGAGTCTCAAACTAGGACGTAGCAGCCGTCAGTACTCCCAGGTTTTTCAACGGTTCTCTAACCAATGTCAGCTCATGGCGAAATCCTGTAACCGAATAATGTAGGTACTAGCTTCATTTTTAATTAATTGTATTCTTGATCTGCAAACAGCTTATTAACCTGTAGTATATGAGCGCGCTTCATCTAGTCTTGTTGCAATAAGAGATAAGAAAAACAGTCAGCGGGTATTCAGCTAGTCTAATAACAGTGACCAAATCTGGATACTGTAAAATTATTCAGGCTAGGGAATGTATTGCGTAAACTTCAAGATTACACTGTTACACAGTCCTTATGTTGACTAAACTCTTCAGTGATATTTGGAAAGAAATAGGCTAACTGTCTCCGATTACTAAACTTTCACGGTCATGGGTTGAGGTATGTCGTTATGTAACAAACTGAAATTTTCGTCAAATATTTTGATTAAGCAGATTTGAAAACTAAATGGGATGAATTGCATTGAAGAATTACACGGGTCGTTTAAATTTTATATAAAATCAATTATACATCTGCATTCTAGAGGATTTAGGAATATTTGCAAACTTATATAGACATATATATCTTCATTTTACAGGTTGAAATCGTTGATTTCACAAAAAGTTGGCGAGACAGTCTGGCGTTTGCAGCCTTACTGCATAGACATTATCCAAATCTTATTGATTTTGATGAGATACGCTGCATAGAAAATTCTCAAGTGCGGCTGGAAATTATTTTCCAACAGGCTTATTTACATTTAGGAATACCCATATTAATTGAATCAAAAGATTTCATCCAGACATGCTGGTTAGAAGAACGATGTGTACTGACACTTGTGGCCACATGGTATAGATGCCTGACAACGTCACACAGCACTCACTTATCCTGTGAAAGAGTGACCAAAGTTATACAACAGAGTCTGGCTATTAGTCGCAGCATTTTTGAATATATGAAACAGACTAAACGCTGGTTAAAGTGGTGTAGCGTGAACAACAAACTGTTAAATCAATTGCTAGTGAAACTGAACGCAACTGATGCAATCAGAAATGAGCTGGATGTGAAACAAGAATTACAAAATTTACTATCTTGGCGACAAAAAGAAAAAGCGGAGAAAATGTCTGATTTAGTCCAACTGGAAGTAAGCATTTTAACTTATAATTGCTGGTATATTAAAAAGTTTAACAATTCATTTTCGCTCCCAGAATTTTCTCAGGTACTGTTAATTATTAAGGTAAAAGCAAATTAGTATGAATAAAGCATCAATACGAAATTTAATGCACTTCAAAATCATACTAATTAACCTAAAGGTCTTACGGAAAATTTTGTCTGTAACTACAGACCCACCCTGATGACCTGATGGATGTACCATTTAATGGTTCATGACCCATTTTTCCTCTTGATCTAGTTAAATCAGGACTAACATATGACCTAGTTGGCTTAGTTGTGGTACTTCTAGCTTTATCAGTGCGTGACATGGTTTTGATTTTGAGACAGTGTGTACCTGAACACCTTGGTGATTGAGACTGAAAAAACCAGACCACACACAATCAAAAATTCCATTCACAAACCTTTGCAACACGGTTTGGTTGAGTGGCCATTCCTCAGAATTGATAAAAAAAGTTTACTATTGACCTCGGAATGAGTATAACAGCCAAACAGGATGTCAGGAAGTTTAGATTTCGGGATCACAGTTGTAAATGAGTAAGGCTAAGTAAAAGCGAGCTAAAAAGCCAAGTTTACTGCTTGGAAAACACTTTAGTACAATGTAATCAATTTTAAATGAAATGCATCATTCATATAGAATCAGAAACAGCATCTTTCAGTTAGATGGTTAAGAATGTACCTAAGTCTCTAAGCCTTAGTTTTTACTGTTTGATGCCCATTTTAGAAAAACGTTTTCTTCGAGCTGTCCTGATATAGAATGCAGATTAGTGCATAGTTGACATTCTGAATCATCATTTTTCAGCATAGCAGTATAGAATTTTCAAACTGGTGTTCATGTGTTCTTTGTTTTAAAGTTTAACGTCATCTAGAATTTCATGCGGCGTTCAGTCATCTGCTTGCTAGATAATTCATGTTGTTCTTGTAAAAGTCGTAGTTATATGAACAGTTCGAGTGAAATTTACACAGATTCGTCTAGTCGTCTACTGTGCACAATCTCTATTCTTTATTTTTCAGACTCTTTTGAGTGAAATTCACACCAGTCAACTGGCAGCATCACATCGATTATTTAAACCACCGAATGGCTTTCATTTAAACGATCTGGAAGAGTCGTGGAAATCTCTGACTCTCGTTGAACATAACTGTCATTTGGCTATTATTGATGAACTACTGAGAAGAGTGAGTCATTCTATATTTTCATGTACAGTCTTTGTTCTCTCACTACTTCATGAATGTTTGAAACATTATTATTTAAATACTGATAACTTCAAAGTTCTTGGAGGGGAAATCATTTTTAGATTTCTAATTTTTGCTCAGTTCTGTTAAATTGATTCTTACAGTAACAAAGAGCTTGAAATGCAAAATACAGCATTTCGGAGTCCCCTGAAGTATTCAGATTTCAGTTTAACATATCGACTGAATTTGTGCAACAAATAAGACAAGCTACCAGACAAATAAGTTCTAAGAATTTCCTGAAACACCTTGAGAAGGAGTTTGAATGAATTATAATGTTAAATAATTTGATGCTCGTCAAATAGTTTATTAATAAGTGAAAAGTGTTCGTAATTATTACCTTTCTGTTAGTCAGACTTTGAGTTAGTTTACCTTCCTTAACCGATGGATATAAATTGCGACTTGACGGTGTATTTACTGACAAACTTCGGTGAGCATTGCCTTTGTGTTGAAGTTAAAAATTCAAAAAGAAATCTCATCACTTTTAACTAATACTTGATGTTGGATTTGAAACAGTCTGACATTTTAGGATTACTCAGAGATTTGCAGGTTTATACGACGGTATCTTTAGGTTATGCTAGACTATATATCCATTCCAAGAAATCGTAATTCATCAACATTAGCTAGTTGTTAAGGCTGAGCAGAGTCTATTTTATCCCTTTTCAACTTGTTTTAGAGTTAATGAACAACTGAAACGAAAAATAATGAAATGAAAAGAACGATGGGAAATAAATCTGATTGTTTAAAATTACTGTTTAACGTCTGAGTATTTATTCTTGTCTAAAATGTAGCTTCGATTTCACCTATAGAGCTGTTGCGTAATTTTCACTAAGAATTATGAGGCTTCAAAGTTACAGTGATAAAGTTCTCATAATGTACGGGTCTTTGCAGCACTTGGTGAACCCTCTGTTGGACTGACATATATACTTGACTGATCCCTGCAACATCTAGTTAACAGTCACACAATCACTTTTTTACTACTATTTTTTGCTTTAGGATTCTTTCACTGAGAGCAATTATGTTGAATAAATCTCTACTTTTAAATGACAATTAAATCGCACAGTAGTACAGAAAACGTGAAGTTCCTCTTAATTCTGCTGAAACACTTGATTGTTTTAGGGATATTTCCCGTCCTATGTAAATAATGAGACGGCTGTTAGCTAGCAATCTGTCTTACATATTGTTGGAGTTCTAGCTGCATTGGCTGAAGCAAGTTAAACAACTAAGAGTTTGAAGAATCATCAAGACATGATTATTTACGTATAAGTCACTGCATCCTCATTTTTCCTCTGATTTATCTAACATTCTGTTTCTTTCGGTGTTTTATCCGGCTAGATTCTATTTGTTGTATTTCCGTGTTAAGAAAACCCGAGAATATGTGTTTAATTCAGAATAAGTTAACTTTTAGTCATATATATATACGTCCCACTTCTGAAGTGAAATCAACGTTGACGAAAAGCACTAGTGCTTAAATGTCTATGGATTCATCAACGGAAATATAGCACTGATGATCGTGATACTAAATTTTTCGCTTGTCTGAATACACTTTCTTAAAATGCAAAGATCACGGAGATTAAGAGTAACTGCACTGCAAAGATACTCTTTTCGTTCATTTCTGTAATATCCCGACTTAACTTGATATCATACTAATTTACTGTCTAACTGCAGTGCTATATCCACTAGCAGATGTGTAAAGCGGCCTCTTATAACAAAGAGAATCTTATATTCTTGCTCTGAAAAATTTATTATAGAATTTTGATTTTAGCACATTGCTAGTATCCAGTCTCATCAGTACATCGTGTGCAGTTATCCAGCAGACAGCCACATTCAGATTCGGAGTGCATTAAGCATGCTGTCTACGATAGTAAGTCAACGGACCTGTAAAACAGCCGTCACTGTCTATCTGTTTATTTTTTCCATCTGTTGAATAACGAACGCACTTATGTTTTTGCAAGTAAAGTATTTAAGATTTAATGAGATACCTAGTAATTTGCATTACGAATAGTTTTTTTTCATTATTATTACTTTGGACCATAATGAATTTTTGGTACTTTTTAAGGAAAATTTGGAGATTTTAGGTCAGAAATATGAGCGTAAAACAGAATTATGCCTCAACTGGTTACACGAGAATATTCAAATTATCAAGATAGCATCAAGTACAGAGGACATGAAATTTTTAGAACACATGAATTCCCTGGAAAACTACTTTATTAATATATGCAGCAAACAGTTTGATGCAGTACATCAATTCCCACAGAATGAATTAATCACTTATCGACATCAGATCACAGCATCACGACATAAACACGCCGCTTTAATCACTGACACTGAGACATACGTGAATTTAAAATTACAAAGATTATGCGAGCTTTCTTCAATACTGACTTCCTCGATAAATTATAGTCTGCGTGATAAATATAAGAAACAATGGAATATGATCTTAGAAGGAAATAAAAAACTGCAAGATAAACTAAATAGTCGTGAAAATTATTTAAAACTATGTCAAGAATGGTTGGATCTCTTACTTCAACTGAATGATCAACTACAAAAATTCGGTACTAAAATGCTACAGCTGAAACACTTAACGGAGGTTAATAGAACCAATTCAGTAGACACATGCTTAGATCAAATTCAAATGGATATGAATCAGTTAGTTATATGGATAGAATCTGTTAAAGATTTATTGAATAATATCACTAGTTCAGAGAATAAACACACTGATGATAGTGAAAGTGACGCTACTCCAAGAACACATTTACAAATGAATGTGCTGAACAGTTTAAATTACATTCAAATGTATCGTTCAAACTTGGAAAAGAATTTGTGGGAGACAAGTCAGTGGAATGTGGCAGTGAAAAATGTCTACCGTTTATTGAATGAGATAAATGAAGAACTTTTGTGGATTAAGGTAAGTCCACACACACCAGTGTGTTTTGCGTTTACTGGCTGGCTTTATGATGCATTTTATTCAAATTCTAATGAGAACATATGACTTGTGAAGCCAGAGACTTTAAAGTTATGATGTCTAATTAATTATAATTGAATTTCAGAGGTGGGATTTTTTTTATTTTAGTTATATTTCGAGCAAAATAAAAAATAACTAATTGTGGGTAGATAACCAGTGAAATGTAATTACAATTAAGCGATCTATTATACGATGTAGAAACTGACAGGAACTGAATCCCAATAGACTTTTATGTAATAGTAATCAGAAACTGTTCGGTTATGTATACTTCTCCAGCTGATGGTCGGACATTCTAAAAACTAATGTCTAAAGATGTGTTCTTTTCACAAATTCTTTGATTTAATTCACCTAGGAGCTCAAAAGTTAGTGATTTTTTAAGTTACTCATTTATTTACGATGTAATGTGTTCCAGTTTGAATCGAAAATTATGGATTACAGGGTTTAAGGTGAGTATATTCCACTGTGATGATTTCTCATCCATTGAATATATGTAACGTCGACTTCCTTAGAATTGCAAATACGGATGACTCAACAGAATGTGCCAGCTGTATAAGAATACCAAAGTATTAGATAGTTCTGGTGATGACCTCATTTAGTCCCTTTTAAATTGCTGCACGTATTCTGAAACAAGATTCTTCATTTGAGCAACTAGTATAACTCCCGAAATAACTTACTATTTTGACCTTTATCAGTTCAACTTACTCAAAATAATTTTGTATGTTTCATTTACATTGATATTATTCAGCAGTCTAGCAGTAAGGTCAGATCAGTTATCTAGCATAAGCGAGTGATTACAGCAATAACAAGATACATTTATCAAAAACTGAAGATTAGTCGCACAGTTTATACACTCAAAAAAGTGTGAATATCTCATCAGCAGCCTCAGTATAGGTAACAAGACTGTTGGTTCCAGTTACTCCCCATCAGAACGAAAAAGTCTTAAAAGAAAGATGATTATAGTGTAATGGCAGAGGACAAGGGTCATGTAACAGATCGTTTATTGACAAAATCAAGAGGTATTTATAGATTTTTATGTGCATAATTATTAGCATTATTGTTAGCGGAGAAGTAATCTCTTCTGATTGGTTGTTTTCTTGCTGATGGTTATTCTGTTATCTCTTCGTGGCCGTTTCTCAGAAAATCAAGTCATATATCTGTGAATCATATTTCCACACTTTAACTCCGCTGTGATTGGCTGGTGATTTTCTCAAGGTTAAGCTTTGTTATTGTTTTTCTCATGACCCTGATTCGGGACATGAACATTGACGTAAATTGTTGTCTACAATTTTGGCTTGCAGACAGCTCTCACCACAGTAGGTATATATATATATTCTCGGGGAGTAGCTGCGATCCCCAACTCCAGATACAAATTTCTCTCCTATCGCACAGTGATGGACGTGTTTGTTCAGTGACCTAACATGATTCACACTGGCATCTATAATGATTACTTTACATCTAAAATTCATACACCATTTAGTGCAAAACGATACCACACTTCCATTGAATTCTGGACTTCACACTTAAAGTTGGCGATTTTTCTGCAAGTAAGTGAATCGCGATTACACTTCCTCCAGTTTCTAGAGTAATAATCCATGTGCTACTGAATCATGGTGCTACACTTTATTCAGTCGGTAGCATATTGTACTGAGATGTGTGGACGCTCCTGCTGTTTATTCAGAAGACAGATGTGATCATTATATGTGCGAACTTAGTCTCCTTATTATATAGACGTATTGACATTATTTACTTCCTGAACATCTGATAAACAGTATTCATTAGTCTATAGATGTATTCACTCAACAAGTATAGAAAAAGATCAGATCTGTGACCTGTGTTCCACTAATTGATTGGTTCAACAATAAGCTACAGTTTGGAAACTGGTGTCTGTTTTTAGAAGGTTTAGCTTCAAACAAGAATCATCACTAGGAGAAATAATAGAAAATTTCACCGATCGAAACTGAAGCACTCTAATAAAAAAAACCTGTTTTGCAATACAGCTTTATTTAATTTTATTATTATTTTCATTACGTATGGATGATGTAAAAAGAGTATCGATTAACATGTCGGTATTACGTCAATTGTGAAATCTTTCAGGAATATAAAGTAGAAATTGGTTGTAGTGATACAGCCGAATGACAGAATGTACGGAATTTCGACAGGGTAGAATTAAAAAGGTTATTTTTGCCTAATAAAAAAGATTTACAATGGCAGTTATCATATCGCTGAATTACTATAGCAAAAATGTTAAAGAAGAGTGATTATAATCTTGGGGTGAGAGTTAGACTTCAGGTCATTGCAGTCTAATGATTGATGGATAGTGAGTGAATCAAGACTATTTGTAGAGAATTCTTTTTTCCCCAGACACGTTTCAGATAGGAATAAATGACTTAAACATCTTTAAAGCTAGCTAAGTTTCTGTGAGTAACTTTTGAACTTTTAGACGCTATTTTATTAGTCCAACAGATTTATTTTACTTCTAGAAATGGTTTAAGATGGTAAACATTTAGGATTAGTGTTGAATTATTCTAGTGGCGTCAGTTAAATGTCGATTCTGTAAACACGCATTCAGTGATCACTCGTTTCATTCATTCAGCTACATTACATTTAGAACTAGCACCTATCCAATACTGGTTCACTTTTTAGTAATAGACTTTCTATGTCAACATCGGTTGGTTTTCGTCTTTTACATGTGTGTAGCACTGTGTTATTCCTAGTCTGGCATAATTATATACATCTAGATATACGAACAGTTTTCCTGTTAGTCACTATTTTAGTTACTTGACACAGTGTCAGTATTAAGATATGAGCCGTACAAAATAACGTCACAGGAGTATGAGAGGAAGAGAAATAAAATAAATAAATAAATAAATAAGGGCGTTTGTGAGATACACTAAAAGTAGAGAGTTCATCGCCTGATGCCACTTTGGGAAGGAGAATAAAAAAGGAAGCTGAAACATGTTTACAATTGATTTAGGTTCTCAGCCATATATGGTAACTTCCAGGCCACTGATTCGCACAAAAATAGTTATGAGGAATGTGCTGGAACTTTAGGACAACGAATCTAGCCTCTATAGCACAACAATACGCCATGGGCCGACTATGTCTCCATTTTTTTTCAACTATTTCTAGGACTGGCAAACTATAAAAGGTATACAAGCCTCTGGGATGTCATTTGTAGCCCATGTCAAAACTCCTACCTCCGTTGTCCTAAAATGACATCTTAGAAAAAATAATGTTCACATCGTCCAAACAAATTTTTGAATTATTGAAATGGTTATGGCCCTAGATGCAATCGTTTCTACAGAAACAGTGGTTATAACAGAGTCACTTCTGTCTAGTGGCTATAATGAAAAAGGTTGAGTACAAAAATTCAGACACTGAAATTATGTAACACATGGTTTTTGAAGGCTGAAATAATACCTCGCCAGCTTTAGAGGTAATTTATCTTGGTGGATGTCTTCTTGGTTTCGTCTGCATGATTGGGAGTTTCATCTACCACACGTTTGCCGGGCCCCACATGATTACATTTGATTTATCATGCGCATATATCTGTATATCTGCATAACTTTGCACTGGCATGGCATATCAGTCAATTGATTTCTTATTAGCATCATACGCTATAAGTAGAATATCAATTTTAGCATTAAGTTAATACTACTAGGCTTTGATGATATTGTTCTGAAGTACAATAATTTTAAAAGAAGGAGAGGACACTCATTGGATGTTTATTTACTGAATGAATGCTTAGCACACGAGCCACGACAACCACTATAGCAGATGAAGCTACTGCAATGGTAATGCAGCACAGGAAAGGATGTGAACAACTTTATAGGACTATGAGATATTCATTGCATTTAAAATTTTAAGCAGTAAATTAGTTAAGACACAGTTATACTTGTTATTAAACTAGTGAATAATGCCAGAGAACAGGTTATGAGAAGCTAAGATCTCAGATAGTTTTATGAAAAATACTTTTCAACCAGAGAAAAAAATAAATCAGTAAATCTGCATTTTTACTCAAGTCTTATCAAGGTCAAATTTTAAACACAACATTTTTTGAAATGTTCCAGGACTCACCGTGGGCTGACATCGATTAGGGAACCACTGGGAAATCTGGGACTGCTGGCCAGCTATTTCGTTCCATTTTGGGGCTATTCATCAGTTCACACTCACTGAGGTTCAGATGTAGAACCTTCCGGTTACAAGGCGGACTTGCAGACCATTGAGCCACTTGGACCCTATCCAATGTCCTGTGAATTCCGGCTTTAACTTGACAAGTTTAATTTTATTTCTTTACTTTTCCGGTGGAAAATAGGGCTCCAAGCTATAGCTGTGAAGTTTCGGTAGCAGTAGTGTTTATTTTCATGGGATGAGGTTGTTAGCCTCATGTCCAACACTCCGTCTTAACCAGTCTTATTACAGGCCTGGTGAGTTGATGGAGTGAGTCTACCGGGAATCGAACCCCAAACCATATACACGGTAGGCGAGCATTGTACTGCTGTGCCACCAATGCACGACTAAAGATATACGATTTTGAAATTCATGAGCCCCCCAGAAAGTTCCAGAATTTGATATGTTTATCTGTGAATTGCATGGGATATTCGCTGCTCAAACTGCTGATACCTCAACAGTTTTGTTTGTACAGCTTTAGACTAATGTTAAGCGATGACTCCATTGCTATTACACAAAGCAGTGTAGCCTACATACTTTTTAATTAATATTTATAAATTGAAGAAAATCTTAGCATTTTGCTGTGTACAATAAGTGATAAGTGAATGGCTAGTCTGACTGATAGTTCGGACATATACATTTCAATAATTGTTTCTGGGGATTTGTATGAAAGGTATTAGATAAAGCAAAGTTTTGGGCAGACCGTGTGAAGACCTCGGGAGTTAGACTGCGGATAGTTTAACTAGGTCATAGTAGTGGGTTGAGGTATAATACGAAAGAAACAGCCGTCTTACGCATTTCATAAGTAATCTAATCTAAGTCTTACAAGATTTGGTAAAGTTTTACAGACAGAAGGTGCTTTCCAGTAAATGTTCGTGCTTTTAGGGAAAGAAGGCACATAACAATACAGAAAGCTGCTCAGTACTCTAAATTCATCAGTGCACTTGATAAAATGCAATCTACTCAAGTATTGGTTTGTAGGGATTCGACTGATTGGTTGCAGGATTTCGTCATGAGCTAGCATTGGTTAGAGAACCATTGGAAAACTTGGGAGTACTGGACAGCTGTTTCGTTCCAGTGTGGGACTCTTCACCCGATGCCAGCTAATGATGAAACCCTGTAACCAATCAATCAAATCCCCACAAACCAATAATTGAACATCGATTAGATGTTCATTGGCGACTGGCCCTATTCAGGCAGGTAGTTACCTGAGGTTCTAGTTGGAAGTCAGACCAGTAGGGTGCAGCAGGTCGGGTGTGAGGACAAATACTTGCCGGAGACATTGGCTAGCGGTTGCACTATATCGTGAATTGGCAGAAGTTAGAATTCACGGATTGGCCATTGGATTGGGTCCCAGTGGCTGAATGGTCTACGAGCTCGCTTGCCTTGTAACCAGAAGGTCGTGGGTTCGAACTCCTGTTGTGGGTACTGCTGAATAGTCCCAAACTAGGACGAAACAGCTGTCCAGTACTCCCAGGTTTTCCAATGGTTCTGTAATCAATGTCAGCTCATGATGAAATCCTGTAGAATGCAATGTAGTTTCACCTTCAAAGATTAGACTAAACATGTTGAAACATTCTGTTTAACCGTCTGTCAAGATAAAAATTTCATGTTTTTGGACTTTTGAAGCGACAAACACACAGGGTATTATCTGACCGTATGGTACGTATGAATGCCTCCAAAGTAGTTACAGCGTTTTTTGTTTCTCTCCTACATTTACTGTTGCCTCCATCTTATCTCAGGATATCAGAATGCAATTTGGTCTTTTAGATTATTACATTGTTTTTATCATCTAAAACAGTGGATACTTATCCTTTATGTAGATGAATCAACATTACATCCTCTTTGTATACTGTCAGATTTAAATGGTTTTTATGTTCTGATATGACCTGTTGCTATCTTCAGTGGATTTTATATATTATTAGGTAAAGGGAGGTGTTGTGAACTTGAAGTATGTATTGTTTCAAGGAAGTTTGGAATTATGTCTGACGTCTAACCGATATTCTTTCTGGTGTTCATCAGAAAGCAATGCAAAGTTTTTATTAAACACGCAACATATGACAGAGTTGTCAGATTTGCGTATCCCAGATGCGTCGTTAGATATGTGTGCATCCTGCAAGCACAGAAGATTGTACACATAGCAGTCATGAAGACCCTTGCTGCTACTGTGTACTTCTAGAATGCTTAGGGACTTATTTCTTTGCAGCAAATGTGCTTAGATCAACTATTCTCTTCTTCTACGATTCTGATTTATTTACATGAAAATGGTTCTGAGATAATAATTGTCAGTCATTCATATATCTTCTTCTTGATCCACAGTTATAGGCCTATGAATAATATCATAAAATAGGCAGCAAAGGTAGAACCAGAAATACAAATACTATGGATTGCATTGAATGCAAGTGAATAAAAAGATGACAGTGGTAGGCAGTTAATTTTTGATACTGATATAAATGCACGCAAAATGTATTCACATATTTCCTCATTCCACTGATTATATCTCACCCCTTGAAATCTCCAGTGTTTTGTGTTAAAAAATTCACAAAAAGACTTCATCTAATCATCATTCTGTCTCATATCTTTATCAGCTGTACATTTTCTATGCATATCAATCACTATCAAAACTAACTACCTACTACACTGTCTTCTAATTCAATCTGATTCTGACCTATTTACAGTATTACAATTTCAAATTTTGTTTAAATAATATTTTGTACAAAATACCGCCAATATCGTTTTCATTTCTTTTCTTTGTTCAATGCAATATTTAGGATCAAGAAAATTCAATTGAACCACCGAATTTTAATAAGAATGAGTTAGCTGAGCATTTTGCATGTGTTAGCATAACAACACATCAGTTGCAAAGCAAATCACGTCTACTTGACGCTGAACTTCAATCACGATATAGAGTTAATTATTTTCACCACTCATTTTTAGTACCAGATCAAAGTTTATGCGAACGTTTACAACAGGTTATTAGTCAAATAAACCCTGCAGACTTTTATCAATTAAGCATAGACGATATTAATTCTCTGAGTATTACACGCAGTACACAACTATTGGACGAAAGTCATGAATATCCTGAAAAAATGATCAATGAGTTAGATAAATGTGTTTTGATAAAAATTTATGAAGACATTTTGAAGTGTATGCAAGAATTGTATACACAAAGTGACAATAGCAGCAACAGTAATGACCAGAATAGTTCACCGAATACATCAGACACTTGTGAAGAGATTCGATGTAAAGAACGCCAAACAAAAACTATAGAGTTTGTCGGCCTACTGCAAAGATATTGGAGCAAATTATTAGAATCAATTAAAGTTATACAGAACAAGCTATTACAGCATAACCATTATTTAAATGTATTACATAGTTTAGTGCTAACAAACATGAAAATTGAAGAAACCAGTCTAAGAATATGTGAAACATATAACAGTGTAAATATCACACTGATGCTTGTCACCAATACGGGAAATGTTGAAGAATTTGAAGAGGATGAACAGTCACAGAAGGAAAGCCAAATGGGAACGTTGTTGAAGGAACCTTTTGATGTATTGAATGCACATACTGCTCTTACTGTTGACAAAGAAGTTGTAATTAATTCAACATTAAGGCAGATGGATCATGTAGGTTGAATGTATTTTTTATATTACTTGAAGGTGGTAAGGTAATCTTTCTGTTTGTTGATTCTGCACCATTTTTTTAATCTTTGAACATGTTGAACAGGTTATATGTTAAATTGAATGATTATTGTTCAACTTCCGTAATAATTACCAGCTGGCAGAATCCAATACGTGTCTACATACATTTAGGCATGGTCTAGTCATTCCGTTTTCTGTCTTCTCGATCATAATATCAATAGACATGACTACTGAAACTCGAGCTCAAGAAACAACTAGCTTTTGGTGTTTTTACTCCATAATATCTGGTGAGGTGTTGCCAACTACTTATTCAGTGATTCTAGAGATTCATTATTTTTCTAGGGGATGTCAGAAGGTCATAAATACTTCTCTTCCCATCACATAGCTTTTTACAAACCAACCACCATCAAGCAAACTCCACTCACATAATAATAATCTGTAATAATGATGCAGAAGAAGACTTTCTGATTGCTCCGTTATAGTTCCTAAAAATCATTTTTTGTTTGAATTCCAGTATTCGCTTAAATCATGTGTTGAAATACCAGTTTAATAGTTATTTTTGTATGGCTAGTTTTAGAATGTCAAAATAAAGTGGAAAAAACTCTTAGGGATCAAGAGTAATCAATGAAACGTTTTAGTGTACAATAACGCTGAATGATATGAGATTTCCACTATTTACAGAAACATTGTTATTTAATAGTCAAAGTTAAGTTGCAGAAATTCTTGATGATGACTTCAATCATTTAGGAAAACGTTTTTCAGATATATTTATAGATTTATCCAAAATAATTAACACTCAAGGTACAAATCCGTTAAACTGAGTGTTTTTACATGAGCTAACTGCAGCAGATTTACGTGGTAACGAAAAAATTAGCTTCAACATTTTAGTAACTAGTTTAGTGATGAACAGAAAGTTATGCATCTTTTATTCACATAATCACCTGGTATCCCTAGTGATAGTTTACAGTGAGGTGATGAACTGATCAGTATACTGGTTTTGCAGTCCAAGCAGTAGATTGCCGAGTGAGTAGTCCGGAGGCCGATGCGACACAGATTCTCGATGCAACTTTATTCATGCATACAACCTATCTAAATACTTACTCTCGGTACTACAATCACTACAAAAGGACACTCAAAATATTGTAAGGAATTCATATGATTTCAAATCCCAAATAGAACACCGAGAAATTGATAAAGGAGACATTATGGTAAGCTATGATATTAACTCATTATATACTAGTATCCCTATTACCGAAAGTCTTGATATCATTTCCAGTCTACTAGAATCAGATACAAAACTATCATAAAGATGTTCACTGGACACCAGTCAAATAATTAAGAGCTTGAAATTCTGTCTAGAAAGTAATTATTTAACATTTAAAGGGAGTTTCTATAGACAGACAAATGGTGTTGCTATGGGTTCACCAGTCTCCCCAACAGTCACCGACCTTTTCATGAATAGATTCGAAAATAACATCTTTTCAAGCATACTCACTCCTAAAATATGGTTAAGATATGTAGATGACACTTTTGTAGTACTAAAACGAGATCTACACAATTCATTCCTGGAAAAAATAAACTGTGTATCTCCCAGAATCCAGACGTCGGTGAACTACAACTTCTAGACTGCCTAGTTAAGAGAAGGGAAAACGGACATTTTAGTATATCCATATTCAGGAAGAAAACCCACTCCAATAAATATTTAGACTTCAAATCATCACACCCCATCAGCGCAAAGATTTCAGTTGTTTCAAGTCTTCTTAGACGAGCACACTCTCTGATAACGGATGAGAAAGAAAAAGAAGAAGAAATATCAAACATTACTGAAACTCTCAAGCAAAACAACTACCCAACAAAATCAACACAGATATTAAGTATGGCCGAAAACGCATTCCGAAAACATGGACTTCAACAGTCGTCATTCCATATAGAGCAGAGACGTCAGATGATATCAGAAGAGTACTCAATCAGCTCGACATTAGAGTTTTCTTTAAAACATCAGACACACTACGAAACAACCTTGTCCATATAAAAGACCAGATCCCTAAAGATTCTCTATCTATTTGTGTCTATAAAATAAAATGCTTGGAATGTGATGCGATATACATCGGACAAACATCTCGAGAAATCAAAATCAGAAGAAATGAACACCGTAGAGCATCTCTTCGACCACCGAGAAATCCAATTGAACTGGAAAAACTTGAAAAATCATCAACCATCAGGTCACAAAATTGATTTTGACAATATTGAAATAATCCAGAAAAACTTCAGAAATCATAAAGAACGTCCAATATCAGAAGCACTTCATATCAAGTGGAATCAAAATTGCCTGAATAGGAATGATGGACTAAAACAGAATCTGACCTGGTTACAACACCTCCCTCCCCCATGAAGTGACAAAATCAACACGAATGTGATATGCAAGTTCACTATGTAAACACACACTGTCTTTATAATTTTACACACTGATCAAATCCAACAATCTACACTTGATTTTGTTATCTTTATCAATTGACCAACTTGACAACAAAAAATGACCCCAGACTGACGAACGATGATCAAGTTAGTAAACTTTGTTTTGATACCATAACAGATGTACTATTACCTCTGTTATTTGGTTTAGTGATCTTCATTGTTATTTTGACTTTCAATATGTCCTTTTAACTTGACCTAAGTCTATTTTCTCACCCCTTAACTCTTTGTTATATATATGCTGAGATTTTGTAAATTCTGGTTTAATAATACTTTGATAAAGCTATTAGCATTAAATAGCGAAACGTCAGTAAGAGCAACAATATCGTTTTGTTTTTCATTCATTGGGAAATACAAAAACCTTTATTATAATGAATATCATATACCCAATGCCCAAATTTTTTCAAACTGTTAAAAGTGAACTTGGTTTGGACATATATCAGATCAGATAAAAGTTTATTGGTAGAGAGATGAATAATTGACATACTTTCTCTTTCTGGCAAGGGAATTACGTGATCGCTGTATAAAATTCAAAGTCAAATTGCTTGTTATAGAATGTTGCAAGCCCTATTAGAACTTCGTTACCACATAATATTTGTTTGTTTTTTTTCTAATTTATATATTTGTTTGTTCCGCAGGTTGAATATATTTACTGATGTCTTTATTTAATACATGCGATGTTTGTTGTTAAAAAAAATCAAATGCAAATAGTAACTTTTTAGCTACATTCGCGGTTTTCCTTCACTGAAGCCCTGTCTACTGAAATCGTTCCGGTCCTAGCACTAATGATCATAATGAAGCTACACTTTTTAGCTGTCATATGGTTTATTTCACAGATTGAAGCCTTCTTAACTTATTTTTGTGATTTTAAATTCTATCAGCGCCTTTGCAGGTTAAGGAGGATGAAAACTGTATACCTACTGGTGTTCCACTGCTCTGGCGATTTGAATAGGTTAATGATAAGTGATATTGACTTGAATCTTCTGTGAAACATAAATACCTTTATTGCCGAAGGTATGTCTTACTGGTGATCTGTAACAGCCATGAAGGACTAAATACACAGTTTAGTATCTAATAACCGTAAACACCTAATACCAATCCATGGTAAGCTATAGATCAAAGAAGTGCCATTCTGTTTGGTTTAATAGTCATACTGTTAAATTAGACCGTTATCACCAGTATGAACTTCCATCCGTCTGGTAACCACCTAATGCTTGATTGTCCAGATGACATAAACTCATGGCAAGGCATTTTACTAGTTCTTTTGTCGACATTAATTTATTGTAAATTTTCAAGTATCTGAATATTTTCTGATGTTAGGGTTGCATACGTAGAATTTATGAGTTTTATGAAGTCTTTCTACTTTTTTTTTCCTTCACGTTCCCAGTGGAACATAAGGCTCCAAGCTAGAGGCTTGAAGTTTCTGTAGCAGTGTTAATTTTTACAAGATGGGGTTGCTAGCCTCATGCCCAACCTTTCCTCTTTACCAGCTTTATTATTGGTTTATCGAGGTAAAGGAGTGCGTCGGTCGGGGGTCAAACCCCGAACCATGTGCATGGTCGGTGAGCGTCCTAACCGCTGTGCCACCGACGAACAAGAAACATAGTAGTACACTGACGAAAAAGCAAAAACAGCTTCTGATGTCGCTCAGATGGAGTGCAGATCTCAGTTATGTAAAAATCCATGAATTTCAACCCTTCCTGTGAGGACTGATGATGATGATCATGATGTTATCCACTCGCCAAGGCTGCAGTAAGTAGATGGGAATTTGAATTCAGAAACTCCTGACCAAAAGTCTGATGCCACAGTTGTTAGACTGACACTTTTATACAATGACAGCCACTTGTTTTACAATCTATGAGTTTAGGTAATCTCATACTAATCTCATTATTCAAATGTTTATACTTGCTTACTTTTTAATAATGTAAGAACATGCAGACGTTTGAGGTCAGTTTGCTGGAACACATTTTCCCTGTGCCTGACTGTACGCCAAATTTATTGTGTGAAGGCTGATAAGATACTACCTACCACCCAGTTGTACAGATCGAAGTAGGTCGAGTGGGGCTTGAACCTGGGACCTATCCACTATAAGTCGATTGTTTTGAGCAAATGAGCCACATATCCACCAATTATGAAACATCAAATAAAGAAATAAAAGGCTGAATAACATGAAATTGATGAATCCATCATCTGCTTAATCTTTAAGGCACTTTCTTCTGCTTCAACTCGAACAACATTTTATCCCTTATAGCTAAGTTATATGTTTTAAATGTGTGATAATTAAGACTTCTTGCAATTCCAGTGGTCCTCTAAGCAATGTCAGTTGATGATGAAATCCAGCAGAAGTTGGAATTCATGCGCTGGCCATTGGATCGGGTCCCAATGGCTTAATGGTCTACGAGCTAGCCCGCCTTGTAACCAGAAGGTCCTGAGTTCAAACCCCCCGTAGTGGGTGAGTATCGTTGAAGAGTCCCAACCTAGGACGGAACAGCTGGCTGTCCAGTACTCCCAGCTGGTTTTCTATTAGTTCTCTAACTGATGTCAGCTCATGATGAAATCATCATACCAATCAAACAAAATCCCCCTACACAAAACGAAATACTTGTGAATTAAAACTACTTTTTAACAGCAATATACACAGAAATGTATGGGTGAGGAAAACACGCCATCATCACCAATGTTCAGAAAAAGAAAATTTTAATGTCTCTTCAACTTCTTCTTCTTCTACTTACATTGTTCTTAATAAATTATATATATACTCGGAAACATTTTATTTCGTCTGTTATCATGTTGAGTTGTAGTTGACTTAATCGTGATGAATAATGTAGTCGAAGTATTTAAGGCGACAGTTATTCACGGAATGTGAGATATTTGTTACTGACTGCTACTTTTCAGTGATGTGAATGTTGCATACACAGTTAATCAATATCACTTAAATGCATTTAACGAAATATGGTTAATCGGTCTCTGGACGCTTCTACTAAAGAATTCTAAACTTATACGAAACAGTTCTCCATTGTTTTCAAATACGCTTTGACTGATTTCCCTCCAAGACGAAAGTCTCATGGTTTTCAACATACAACACAACACTGTGTCACAAGTCTTAAGCATAACCTTGTCAGCTATCTAGTAGCGATATCTTTCCTGAATATAAAACACTGAAGAGTAGTCTGTGTGATTAAAGAGTACTCAAGTTATTACATCATTTTTTTATCGCTGAAATTTATTTTCACTTAATGTCAGCTTATACACTGTACTATAAAATTCCGCCGATCTAAACATATTATTAGTCTGATATTCCGTCTGTATGTCTGAAATCAATAGTCAGTAACTTTGTGGGTGGTCGGATTTCTGCGGTTAAGCCATATGCCAATAAGATATGTGAAATGTAGTATATTTGTATGTATGCGTGTATGTGTACTGGATGCATCATTTTATGTTAAAGTATTTTGCAATCGGTTCCATTTATTTCATCAGTTTTGTTGAATTGTAAAGCTTATTCTGGGTTTTTAGTTAAATAGGTAGAGAAAAGGACGAACAAGTCGTTGTAAAGTCATTTACAACAGCATACCTGTTAAAGCTATCTCAAAGAGATGGTAATCTGATATCAACATAAACGACTGAGACAGTGGTGGTTCTTGAAAATAACTAGCAACCTTCGATGACATATACTTGCAATCCTGTAGATTCTTCATGTCATTTAACCCTCGAGAAATGTTCTACATCCCAAAAGGAAATAGCAGTAGACTGCCACACCACTGGATGATGAACAAAATGCATTAGAAGAGAAGAGTTTATTGAATTTGTAAATTTCAGTCGAACATTTTGTTCTGCATGCCTGATTTAGTATATTGTTGTGCAATAAAAGGTGTACAGACGGAACACAGACTAAGGCATTATATATGAGGTATGGCAACATGCTATGAATAATATCAATTTATTCAAAATGTTAACGACCTAAATGGTGCTAATAAGCCTCATGTTCCACTATTTATTATTTCTTTATTCAAAAAATGTTCTAATTACCAAAAATGATGAATTTAGGTGCAGAGGTGTTAATGATACCTTTAGTGTAATAGAAGACCAGCTGTAACTATTTGATTTTACGCATAAAATATCTTCGATTATTTTATCAAGTCGATAATCCCAAAATGAGGAAGCCACTTAGATATTCTACTGATGATCTGTTTGCCTTTTTTGTTGCAAATTTCAAAACTAGTAACTTTAAGCAAGTAATACATTGGAAGGAATTTGTGCTATCAGCATACACATGATATTTTCATTGGATGTAAAAGCAGAATAAAAGTCAAAACTACTTCGTAGAATTTTAAGTTCATGTCACGCAAAATTTTAGCTTTAACACAAAAATGATATTATCTGATTTTCAGATGTCTGTCTGGTAAAAAGAAATGGTGAGTTCATAGAAAGGTTCACTTGCATAAAGTACACATCGATTGCATAGTATCTTCATTACAAAAGTGTTTTTTTTCTCGATCAGATAAAAATTTAATTTGATTAGTATTGGTTAGGATAAAGCAAAGAAAGTGTGCTGTGATAACTGTACGGATTATGAGATTAAATCGTCTCCTGTTCAAAAGTGAATATTCCCTAAGGCTTGACAACAAGTATTGGAAAATGCAATAATCGAAATAGCAAACAGCTACGAAATATTATAGCGGAAGTGATTGACTGAACACTAATCAAGGCTACTCAGGAGACCTACTACGCTGCTTAGCTTATGCTTTGAAGATTTTTAACAGACGAACTTGAGTCTGTGTTACATAAATATGTTAATTAGAACAGGATTTAATGAGTTCATCAAACTTTAGTTTTTTAGCTGAATACTCTACATACGGGTCAAGTTCAGACAAGTGAAGGGTGGAAGGTGTATAACAGACTGAAAATTAATATTATACTGGACTGCAGTTCATTCTGACATCAATAAAAACCAGATGTTGGAGACAGAATTAACCAAGGTACTATACTGCATCAAACTAAATGCTATTATTTTTCGAAGTACTTTTGGTGGATGGTTACTAGCAGGGGAATCCAGGCTGAGCATTTCATCCTATTCCGGACTCGTCATCTGGATGCATCTTCACTGCCCGTGAATGATGGTGTTCTCACTACGACTCAAACCCAATACCCATCGTTTCAAACTCCACTAGACCACTTGGGTTACAACAGCCACCTCTTGTGCAACAGCCAGCTGTTGTTATTCGTTTTTAATTGACTTTAAATTTTTCCCTTGATTGACTGAACCCTAAATGTTCGGCCTCTGTTGACTTGGCACCGTCCAGGAAATAACTTCATGTTAATCCCAAGACATCGTCGAAGCATCTCCATGTCAACAGGGGCTGAACATTTCGATCAAATCAACCAGCGTGAAAATCAAAAATGAATTAAAAACAAATGTTATTATTTCTTGTCTTATATAAAACCATATTTTGTCAATATCATTATCTTAACTGCTTTCATTGTTACTGTAATTATGATTGTATTAATTTCACGATTCCTAATATTTTCAGTTTCTCTCTGATAAGTTATTGCTTACAATAGTGACATTACTGAACTGTAATATATTACTGTCTCTTCCACTTTTCTACTTACCTTAATTTGACCAGCGGGACATTTTCTGCAGTCATCTGGCTGTGATTGATTCTTTGTTATATATTATATTTATTAATTATATTTCTCGTTGTAAATTTCTCATTGTATGTGTATAACACTGTATGTTGAGTGTTTAGTTCTGTTGAGATTTGATGAATTCATTTAATCCAGTTTTATTGACATTCTTAGCTTATTTAACTTCGTATCAGAAATAAACACTTTCAGTTTGTGTTATGTATTCTTGAATCTTTACACAATGAATGGTATAAAGAAAATATGAAACAAGGAGTAAGAAACTGATAATTTCAGCCAAACAAAAAAATTACTGATTCATTGAGTCCTATTTTAATAACATTTATAGCCTATCCTAAATTCATTTCACCTACTTTTGAATTTTCCTGATAATGATAGCATTTGAAGTGATTTGTTATTTAATGCCTTAATTTAGACATATTTTCTTGTATTTTTTATTTTACAGATAATTGAACAACTGAAATTATTCCCTAAACACTTGATACGTTTAAGAAAAGAAGTGTCCATTTTTCTGGTATCAAAATCAGTGTTAAATGAAAATGATCATGCGGAATATTTACGATTGAAAACAAAATTGAACAATCTCAGTACTCATAGACAACAGCGTAAAGAGATTCGATTTCAGTCTGCACATAAAGTAGACGATGATCAAGGAGAAGATAAAAGTACAAGTTATAGTGATAATGTTTCATTAACTGGTGCACAAACTATCAGTTCGTCATTTGAAGATGAAGTTGTCCCAGTAATACACAAATCGAGTATTGAAGAGGAGGAAGAAGTTAAAGACGAAAGACAAGAAGGCAAAGATGACACACAAACTGAAAAACCCACTGAACAAGGCGAAACCATCAATATAAAGGAAGACGATGGCCAAGATGTGTCGTTTACAAATGAATCCGTCGAAAATATAGAAGTATTCACTTCAGCCTTATCGAAATCCTCATGTGAAGAACTTAGAGAAGATAATGATAGTGATGAATACTTTGAAAATGATTTTAAAACACCATTGAATTCACCAGAAGCCCATGAACTGAGCATTTTACTATTACCACATATCTCGACAATTGCTTATTATTTGCTGAATCGCTTAGATTTCATTCATATGAATTTAAAAGATTATGTGGAGGACTGCTTAAGACAAAGGGATATTTTAGAAATTCAACGGAATGTTTTACGCCTTGTTGATAACGTTACATCATTAGAAAGTTGGATTGAAGAAAAGTAAGCTGATGGTTTGATTTAAAATGAACTAATATTTTCTAATATTTAGTATATCTTCAGGCATTTGTCATGCAAACTACATGATTTCTAGAAGCAGGAAATCAAGTTACGTGTGTGGACGGTTAAGCAGTATGTCAAGTCCACTAATTTGTAGGAAATGCTAAAGGTTAAAATTTCGAGTCTCATCAGTAAAATTAGTAGTACGCTCATCATGAAACTTGGTTATCTAAAGCTCAAATTAACGTGTGCTGTTGGTACTTGTAGGTACTTATCGTATTCGATTGATGTCCACTTTCGCTTATTTTTTTAGGAAGTTCTCTGGTCAGTTTCAGTTTTGGACGAAAACTGTGAATACCCGGAGACCAACTAGTTAGACCTCATTTGCATTTTTGATTGGTTAGTTCTCTCCTATGGCGGATAATTTGAATTACTTAGACATTGCAATTCAAGATAGTGTCTGTAGAACTCAAAAACACATGAAATGAAATATCATCATAGATGTCTGGCAAATTATTAACCTGTAATCTAAACACTTCTCCCCCTTCCTTGAATTTACTAATTGATATTACTTACCGAAGTTAATGGGAACTTCACTGATGACCTAGTTATGATTTACACGACGTTTTACGCAATGTTTCCACGATCTCTATTCCTAATGCTTTTGGATAATATTTCTTTTGATCGTTGTTTTTATTGAGTGGGGTAGCTATTTTTAAAGACTAGACGTGTTATTTTTTCGGATAAGTGCCACTTGGCACGAAATCCAAACTGATTGAGAATTTATGCTGCTTTACTGATGAACTTTAGCATCAAGCATGTCGCACGACAGCACTTGATCACTTTGCCCATTGGCGACATTGTCTAACTTGACTTATAGACTTTGGTCAGCTTGTAAAATCAGGGAGACATTTTGTTCACAGTTGGGCAATCGGTTTGTAAGCGTTTTACTGTTGTCATGAGCTAGTCATTTGTGATTGAAGACTTCCGAATGTGAATGACTTTCTGAGTGGAATGCATTTCTAGGGTTGTTTCGACCCGTTAGATAAATATTGTTAATATTTTTGTGTTCTTTTAATGTGATGGTTGGATTTTGAAGTTTTCATTTTCCGCCAAGGCGACATCTTCAATTCCAATTCGAAGGTAAGAATGGATTAAGGGTGCAAAAAATCTTTACTTATCACAGAAAGAACCCAGTTACCAAATTTTTAAGCCGTAAGTATTTCTGAATCACTAGCGACATCAGTAACAATATTTCACGGTGTTCATGAAGCAAAAGGAGTCAGTAGAAGTTGTCTTCAAAGTTTTCTGAGTCCAAAACACATATTCTGTGAAAATTATTATAATTTGCAAACACAAATAAATAAGTTTCGTGCATGGATAAATATGAACGAGTGGTATGGCTTGTCTACTTTCAAACACTGACAGATGGGTTTAACCATATTTCATATAGTGAGATCTTGTCAGTCGGATATCGCAAAATATGCGTTATTATTAGCTCAAGGTAAAAAATTTCTGGCCACTGATCTGTGCTACTTACTAAATTTTGTTTATTCCTATGTATTTTTAACTAAATAATGGGACGTTGAATGTTGGTTACAGTATGTGTTTACATAAATAGGCAGTGCTGTGATCATTCACTTTTGCGTAAATATTATTTAATTTTTTTCTAACTTTTTTCACATTTCTTTAAGAGAGAAGATTTTACTGACCTTCAATCCTATAATATATCCTTCAGTGAAATTTATACAATCCTTACCGAAACCATGCCCAATTGTCATTACCAAAGAAATTATTCAGTCAATATCTCAATTGTCTGTGCAGGCCTATCGATTTAAGACATTTGAGAATGAGCTGACAAGTCATGCTAATCTAAGGCTTAGTGAAATCGGAATGCTTGATCAAGGCCTATGTGACACTTTTAGTAAACTCGATAAGGAAAAGGATATGGACATTTTGCATTTCATTAAAGCAACTATTAAAATTAATTCCCCAGGCGACGAATATGATGTAGATGAGGACAATGAAGACGAAGACGAAGAAGAAGAAGGCAGTGAAAGCAGAGATGAATTCAGCGAGGAAACTCATGAAGAAATCCAATTTGAAGACAGTAAAAAACAAGAGGAGGAAGAAAGTCCACATGAAAAGAAGACATCTCCTTACGATGCATATGAAGATGAAGAAGCCGATGACGAAGGAGGAGAGGAAGAAGAAGAAGAACAGAGACAGCGACAGCGCCATCGAAGAAATAAAATCAACATCTTCAGATCTAAGTATTCAAAATTATTAAATCATGTAACTAAGAGGTGGCAAAGACTGAAGATCCTGATTGAGGCACGTCATGAAAGATTTGAATTGGCTGCAACCTTATCGAAATTTCATACTCTCTTTCAAAGCACTAAAGAATGGATTATTCGCAAGAGAGAATTGCTTATTTCAACAGATGATTTAGGCACAGACTTAAACAGTGTTATGCAATTGCAAAGAAGACTAATGGGATGGGAGAGAGATTTTATCGCATTACAAGGTGAAATTGAACATTTAAACGTTGAAGGTGAAAAGCTGGCTAAAGAACTTATTGACGAAGCACCGCAAAGAAGGGATTTATATTTGATTTCTGGTGAGCTGTATGCATCAAAAGAAGTAGGGGAGTTAAGAAAAGAATTAAATAAAGAGTGGGAATCATTGCAGTTGGAGTTAAGAAATCGTCAAGATAAACTGCTTGCTTCAGCTGAATTACAACAATTCTTCCAGGTAATCAGTTTTATCTTAAAATCTAAGCATATATATGTATATATATAACCTGAAACACCCTGTGCTTCTCAGCTCGACGTTGACGTAGTGAGTAATGAAAACTAAATCTTTCACAAGATTTCGAGTTATTGGTCTTGCGACAGCCATCTGTTAAATACCATAGACAACTAACATCACTTGTCACCTTCTTAGTGTTTATTGTTGAACCAAGAACTAGGCTTCTATGAGATATGTCCACTACACTTGTACAAATGTTCACAATTTGGACTTAACAGTATATGTTTGCTTTCCTATGCTCTCTTTACGTACGTGAATGAGTCAGAATAAACGGTTTGTTTCACATATTATTACCGATGCGAACTATGTAAATTTAAAAACCAGTGAGATAAGTTTTATGTTTAGTTAGACTTAGACCATGTGTTGTAAGCAATAACTGTGAGGAATGGAAATCTGTAGGCAAATTAAATCTTGCACTAGACCAGATACGTGCTCACTAATGTATTACACAGTGGTACAGTTTTACTTGGTAGAAAAAAGACTTAAATAAGATGTGATATGAGCACATGATGTAAAACTTGGATTCGGTGTAACACACAACGTCTTGTCATCCCAGTTGGAAACGGCTACACAAATTCATCGATATAATTTGGAAGCCTATGACAGGCCCAACACATATGCAACTAGGATGTGAAACAATAAACGAAACAATACCGATGTACGTGTCAAGAACTTAATGTTCGTTCTGAGAGAATTCTACCAGTCTATTTGCAGTGTGGTCACTAAAGCTACATGTTTTGTCCGAATAGTACAAGAGTAACACCTCCGACAGCACCACTGGGAAAATTAGTTTATTCTACGTTAACGAGTGTCTGCAAGCACGGAACCTACATTCACCGCTTACTACCAGTTCACTCCAACCACTTAAAAGCCACATCGATATGTTTAATATCAAAAAGAAAGTCAACATATGATTATACTTTATCATTATGCTCTGCCTATACTCATTCTCTCGGCAGGGTACTACTAGGTTCTGTAAGAGATCTCTGAATATCAGATTCTAAAAGGTTTGCTTGGAAGGTCATTAAACATATGCTGGCTATACGTCATGATGGATTCGCCACTGAAGGTTAATTTTTTCAAGATGAATTATGACTAAATCTTCGTTTCTCTGTTAAGTTGTATTTATCAAGGGGGACTTTTCCCCGACTGATATTTACAAATACTTTTCTTACATTATCCTGCTTGATGGCAACTTTTTCTTCAGAAAGATGACTTCTATTTACTGCAGTCTGAATCAATTAGAAATCCACTAAGTTTTAGGAAAAACTTGCAAGTTAAAGTGCTACTTAAAAGCGCTACAAGGCTGAGTGTATAAGTTGTTAATGTTTCATATTTCCTTAAGAATTCTACTTTACATTATCCTCAGTTACGTACTTATTGATCTTTAACTCAAGACAATACATCTCATAACAGTCTATTTCTAAATAGTTATAATGAGGCTGCCATAGCTTGATAATAACACTGCATGAATTCAAGCAGTGACGGGGAATCTTGTTTTCAGCCTGACAAGAACTTTTCCTACTTATCTACAACTTTCCAAAGACCAAGTATAAGTGACGCCTTTTTGTAATAGCATTTACTCCGAAAAAATATTTTAGTTTTAAGTTCTGGCTGAATTTTAATGTGTTCATGACTTTCTTCTTAACATACTGGATTCCGACTAATTAATAATAGTTTGTCAAAGGAGGTTAATAGTTTTTTATTAATTTTTCTTCGGAATTAGTCACAGAAATACATTGCCACGAGGCTGAAACCTGGAATTAGTCAGTTATTTCACACTCTTTCACTTGAATGGTGTTATTGTATCAGATAAATACCCTTAAATCTACTTTTCTAAACCTTCCTTAGGGTTTAGATGATAATCAACTGTGGTTGCGTAACATTGAAATAAGTGTAGCAACCCATCAGTTGCCCCAGTCTGTTGAAGAAGCGAAAATTGAACTAGATTTACATAAAGAACTCGGTGAACAGATTTTAGCACGTAAAGAAGAATTTGCTGACTTAATCAGTTATGGACGATGCATTACAGCCGGTGAAACTGATATCCATTATGTACAGCTGGATCAACGATTAGATAGATTAGAAAATGGCTGGTCTGAATTAATGCAAATGTGGACATATCAACAAAAATTATTACAGCAAGACGTCAAAATTCAAGTGAGTTCACTAGTGTACAATCTTTTATAAGAAATGTTTTGTAAGCTTAAAATTTTTAGGTCTTTCTCCCAGAATTATTCAAAAGTTGTTTTGATTTTTGATTTACAGCTTGATTCCACACTATTTCAGTACAAGTATGGAATTTTCAGCATGGACATCAGTAGCCCAAATTTTGCAGGCCGACCATAGATATCGGGTGTGCGCCGGCAGGGGATCGAACCCCGGACCACGTGCATGGTCGGCGAGAGTCCTAACCACTGTGCCACCGACACACTAGAACAACTTAAAACCTCAGATTAGATTTGCACATATCCATGAGAAAAGAAAACTTTTAAGTGACAGTGGAATATTTACACAACATGTGATGAGTTATATTCGTTCTAGTAACTTAAAAGGGATTATTACTGTTGTTTTGACTTGGGAATACTTATTTATTTTTATTTATTTTGATTATAGCTTGATTCCACAGCGTATTTTCGGTACAAGTATGGAATTTTCAGCATGTGATATCGGTAGCCCAAATTTTGTAGGCCGACCATTATTGATATCAGGTGTGCGTCGTCAGGGGATCGAATCCCGGACCATGTGCATGGTCGGCGAGAGTACCACCGAAAGTTACATGATTGATAATTACTCACCGTATACATTGTGTTGTATGATACGTAAAAGAATCTTGTTTGCAGTGTCTTCACAAAAATTAATGTATGCAGTAGTTTGTAGATATTAAACTCGTATTGTTTCTATTCTACTTTCATTTCCCAACTACTGCTTTTACGTGAATCGCATAGTTCAATAATTAGCGCTTACTTTTATTTGTCCCAAACACATGGGACACCATTAAATATAGTGTGAACAAAAATTGGCAACTTTGCTCCTTCATCTTTGTCAAACGTTACGGATGAACCGTCTGTAGAACTGCTCTTTCTAGTGGGATTTTGGTGCACCCGATTAATTTTTATTTCCAATGCTTGATTTGAGGACGTAAAAAAGTGTAAGAGCATTGATATTTCTGTTTAAGAAATCACTGTTAGAAAATTGAGCAGTATGCGTCAGTAGCATATTGGCATATTTGAGGACATCACCAACAAATTTAAGGAATTTTCAGGCGTTTGATTTTAGTGATTTTATTTGTTTCAAGTTTGACTGAGCATTGATATAGTAGAGAGCATTGAAACCATCAAGGAGTACTGGACATCTGTTTCTTCCCAGTTTACGACTCACTGCCTGTGCGCACTCACTCGGTTTCGAACCCAGGACCTTCTGTTTACAAGGCAAGCTTGTAGAACACTCATTCAATGGGATCCGACCCAATGGCTCATGAATTCTAACCTCTACTAATTCGTGATTTTAGCGCGACCACCAGCCAGTGTCATTGGTGAGTATTTATCCGACCGGATGGCCCCCACCGACCATGACTTTTGGCCAGAATTCGAAGCAGCTTCGTCCTGCAGCCAGTCACGACTGAGCCTCAGACTAATTTTCAAGGTTTTGTTTAGAGGAATTTTATTTGTTTCAAGTTTGACCACGCATTGACAAGAGTAGATGATTCCCAAACTAGAACAAAGCAGCTGTCCAATATTCACTGGTTTTCAGTGGTTCTCTAAATGATATCACTACATAATCACACTTGAAATTTAAAGAGACTGTAATCTGTTAGCATCAGATAAAATGCTAATGAGGAAGGAAATTATTTCGACTTGATTAACTACTTCACTGTACAACGTGTTCACTACACAATTTTAAACGTGTGTCATGAGTAGAATGTTACATCGTTTTCTTAATGTCTTCACCAGCCGATATGCTAGTAAGCTTTTACTCCTGGCTCAGTAGCCTACAGTATAACGCTATCGCTTTAAAAATGATGGTTGCCAGGTGTTAGTCTCGTTGGGAATACCACAGTCAATGAGGGACGCTAACATCCAGATAATAAGCCTAGGAAAGGACGAAACACGCGTCTTGGATTTTAACTGTTGTCACCATGAGTCAAATAAGATAAACGAACAGTCTGATTAAATTTGTTTGCTCCATTTAATGGATCATTAAACATAATATCATACAGTCATTTCGTGTATTTGTATGCTGATGAGTTCAGACACGCATACTAGATGCTGTGCATTTACCTTCACAGTCATTGAAAGGTATTTGCTAGATCATGTTGTCTTATCCAACTGGACAAACAAAAGACAAAAGAGAGTGACTGACTTTTAAATTTGATGCTGGAAACGCGTCTGAATGTTGTTAGGTGTAATCACTGAATTTTTCGAGATTCAAAAAGAAAGAAATGCATAAACGAAAGGAGTGGAGAGAGGATCACAAGGACTCTCACTTTTCACGGGTGTATTTATAACTGCCGGAAAGGAATAGCAACAAAGGACTCTGACAAAAAATCAGCCATGGATCTATCGTCCAACAAGTATTTTGACTGAAATGGAGATGAACTTGATACTCGCTGGGGGGAGACAGTTGAGTGATGTCACACGCTGTGCTGATCCTCGAGGGAAACCCGAATTGGAAACGACGAGTTGGGTATGTGTCCGAGGGTGTTAAGGAAATGAAAGGTTTTGGACAATCATGGAGACAATTAAAAAAGACTGTGGATAATAGAGTGAAATGGATATGCGGTACGGAAGGCCGGTGTTCCGCAGGAAGCTCAAGGCCATAAATAATAGTACAGCTAACGATGGTTGAAAATAAGTGGCTCTTAATTTGTTGAATCCTATTCCCCAAAGATACTGTAGCTCCCTGTGCATGATATATTTACAGCTGGGAAATCGGAACATATCTACACTTTCTTAATATACTTAAAGAAGGTGGTAGTGTGTATTCAGCTGAGTTTTCAATCGTGAAAAAAGGACTAGAGAAAATAACAATATTAAATTGCAAAACAAGCCAGAGGAAAAAAATATGATTTTAGTTACTAGAGTGTATATAAACAATAGAAGTTTAAACTGTATCTAGACTTTATGTTCATCTATTCCGTGCCAGTAAAGGCAAGTATAATTAAATGTCGAAGTCTAGAAGTTCAACTATTAAGTCAGAAATTATAAACACTGAAATAAATGTCAAAGAAAAGCATTACTATTAAGTAATTATCATAGGAAATTCATTTAAATCTAAACATTCCTAAAAGAGTATACTAAAAAGAGCAATAATCTAAAGAGTAGATTTAAAGCTTCAATTACTTTAGCATCCAGTGAAAGAGTAACAGAGGTATTACCGAAAAATTTCAGTAAAGATGAAATTAAGAAGTCACTCAAAGTCTCATAGTTACTTAGATTGAAGCCCAACTCCTGAAAGGATTCTTCTGATCCAATCAGGAATAAGTAAATTAGCGTGTTAGATTCCATATAATGACTGTGAATCAAACCACCCTCCCATATCGCGGTTTCATCAGTCGGCATCCTAGTTCTGTGGATGATTTAATGATTATTGTTTAGTTTGTTCTAGATAATTTTCACAGTAATATTCTGCTGATCTAATCGCACACAATTATATTAGTGTACCAGATTCCTTTTAGTGACCATGAATGCAATACGTACGTCATAAAGGTCGAATATGGCTGGTCAGATTAACAGAGGATAGGAATCCAAGTGAATGTAGAACAGTGTGTCATAGTAGGGTAAGTAATTCAGCTCGAACATTACAGTGTGTACTGACCTACAATCACACTACAGAGTGAAACTGACTGACACTGACAAAATCCACCATAATCGAGTGGGGACTGTTTAGCAAATCTTTGTTCACTAAGTCAAAACTGCATACTCGCAGTCAAAGTGATACACAAAAAGTATTACCACCATTAAACGTTAATGGAAAATAATGAAAGTAATAATGGTAAATTAAACAGAAAAAACTGTATGTTTATCTTCATAAAATGATGAGTAATTCATTGTCTTCCAGAAAATGAAAACTCATCACTATCTACCACTTCAAATAAACTCAGCCATTATAGAGCAGAATCAATGGAAGGAACTTGAAAGAGGTCACTTCCTTCATTCATCTAAGAAGCAATGTTTCAACTAGAGGCTGTCTGAACGGATGAAGATGTCAACGTCAGTCAAGATCGGAAAGGCAAGATCTGCCTTCATCAACCTGAAACCAGTTTGGAAATCTTCTGCACTCAGTCAGCATAAAGGACAAGATTTGGATTTTTAACACCAATGTCGATTAAGTTCTTCTATATGGGTCAGAAGCTTGAAGTGTGCGTCGCAAAAAGCATTTCCAACAGGTTGAAGACTTATCGACAGCTGCCTTCTCCGGCTCCATACTGAAGATGAAATGGCCAGAAAGAGTAGCAACAAGAAACTCTGGCAACAAACTAATCAAGAACCCATAGTTTAAAGAATATGTAGGAGAAAATTGAAATGGATTGGGCATGTGCTGAGGAGACCGTCGGATGTCATTGTGCCCCAGGCCATTGCTCGAGTGGAATCCGAATAGGAGACGTTAAGTGGGTCGTCCTTGGGTGACATCCAGGAGATTGTGTGAGGAGGAGGTAAGAGATTATGGGCAATCGTGAGCCCAGCTAAAGCCGACAGCAGAAGGTAGAACAAAGTGGAGATGTGTTGTTGAAGCCCTATGTTCCACTCGGAACACTCGGGAATAATAATAATAATAAAGCATATCTTTTTGTTAACTTATCAATGAATTCTTTGATTAACGCTGAGATAACTTCTGCATTATACAGTAGCGATCTAAGCATTACTAAACGTAGGGAGATCTCACAAACGTTTCTTAATGTAAGATATTTCACTCGTGAGTTTAACCCTAATGAAATCATGAAATACAGATAGGTACAAATAAGTATCTATGAAGTAAATGTTCACATGAGAATAATGAGAAAAAGGGAGTAACTTTTTTTTTAAAAATTCAGCAACATTCTCGGTTTCTTCTCACTTTCATATAATAATATTTGCAAATGTTCCTTTTTTTGAATAGAAAATACTTTCTCATCTCTTCTTTTCGGTTTTCCTTGTATAATAAAGACTTTCTTTCGTGATGCGCATTCATTTGAGACGTTGTTATCAACACAGGAAAATAAGCTAATGAGCTATCAGCTGATAGTAAGTATTTACTTTTTCTTATCAAGTTTTCACTAATTATAACTAATTAAATAATCTTTTTTTTTGAATAATTTGTTACATTTGTGCATTTTAGGGCTTTTGTATGTTCCGATGAAATATAGTTAGTATGAGTTTTCAAGTTATTCAAAGGAATAGATTCTTCTTGAATTTAAAAGTAAGATACGCAGAACACTGAATAATGTCGTGGTGAATAATTTTCATGAATAAGTGAATATGTGCTTTTGGAGAATAAACTGTGTTCATCGTGTGCGGTTAAATCACTTCCTTGTGGAATACGGGTAACCCAGTTTACTATTTTAGAACAAATATTAGGCCATAGGATTTTCACCCGACTCTCAGATAGACCTCGTGACATCAATTGTGGAACATTCTGAATTTCACTGGTTTCATATCTGTCGTGACCTAAGTATAACTTCTATTTTGCATCTTATTCAGATGCAACAATAATTATCTGAGAGCATTAGACTGTCAAGTATCACAATGAAGTTTAAGTACAATTTATTATTGATAATTAATGATAAGTTTGTTGTGTGAAGTTATCGTGCATTCATTCTATTTAAGCTGTTGTTTAGCTAAATGAATGGAAAGTGATATACATAGTTGGTAATTAGTCAAACGCTTGACCAACAATATTACTTTCCCAATAGAAGTCAAAACCCATTAGTGGGATGCACAATCACAAACAATCAAATCGCATTTATTTACGGCTTTTTATTTCAATGATAAACAGTAATACTAGGCCAGCAATTGATTTTCTAAGTCTGATAAGGCAGCCTTAAAGTTCATCTCTGACCACTGTCATGATATCAGTTTGAGAGGAGAAATACAACTTTTAGGCCGGTATAAAATAGATTTATTTTATTTCACTAGTTTAAAACTATGATCCATATTGCGTCAGAGTAAATCAGAAGTTAAAAATGATTTCATTCAAGTTGGATTTCATCGTGAATCAACAATTAAAACTATGAGTTCCTTGACATATGTTTAGTCCTACTTCTGGACTCTTTAGCGATATGTACACACGTTCCCACGAAGGACCTGATAGCTGACAGTTCGTGAGTAAGGAGCAGAAAAATGTCATAGTGAAGTGAGAGATTTGTTTCAAAATTGATAAATTGGTTCATGAAGTCACAAATGTAACCTTCCATAGCATTAATTCTCCTCAGACAGTAGGACGAATATCGTGCAGTTTCAAAAAAAAATGTAGATAGGCAGATGATTCGGTAATTACTGTAACACGGAATGTATTTAGGCAGAATAATATGGTCTCAAATTATCTAATGAAATATGACAGTGTTATTCCCTGTCGATGTACTGCTTATTTAATAAACGAAGTAAAACTTTATTATAATTTGATGTGACAAATATTTTAGGTTGTATGCAGCTGATTAGAACTGACAAGAAAGAACTGATCCATTTTATACTGTTACAGTATTTGCGCTCGCTATTTTCTCTTTTATGAATGAAAAAAAATACCCTTGAAATATGATACGAGAATATCATATATTCTATTTGTCAAACAAATTGTAGACGATTACAGGCAATAGAAGGTGCAGCTTTCTTGATCTAGAGCTTAGTGGGAAGTGATATTGATTCAAACACCCGATGAAACATGAATTTACTGAAGACTGCCAATGAGTATGTGTAGTAGGTTCATTGAAACTGTCTTCCAGTTAATGCTAGGCATAAAATGTAAAAACTACAGTGACTCTTAGCCGCTTGTCACTAAATTCAGTCTGTATTTCGCAAACATAATCATCATTCTTGTTCAAGCAATACAGACTGTTGAGGTAATGAAGAAGTACAAAAATTATGATAATAATAATCAGTGCAATAGTCCTTTAAATAAATTGATAAACAGACTTCTTCAGTTTGTATACCTTTATCAGATTCATATGACCTTTTTTACATAAGTGCGCTGTGAAACTGTGCTGGAAACCACACCTTTTCTGAATCACTTCAGTAAACTCTGGTCAATTTGCTATAATAAATTCTGTACGCATTCGTTACTTCAACTCACCCTCAAAGCATAGGCCATAATCACTGTGATGTATAATGGATGTTGGAGTTCTACAAGGGACTTTATGTGGATTCACAAGTCAGCTCGCCAAATTCCTATGAGATTATACAACGCCCTTTTTAAAGAAATACTTGTGTAATTGACTTACTTTAAAACTTAGAAACCAACTAGTTTTTAGCAGTCATCCCAGTATCTTTCTTTGCTTTCCACAGTTATTTCAAAAGTGGCTAGTGAAATCTTTATTCAGTAGCTACAAGAAATAAATTCGCCAAAAATGCATTTAAAAGGGGTATTTTTGTGTTCGACTTTTTATTTAAAATCATATATCAGCTATGAAAACTTGAAGAAACATCATGCTGAATATTCTAAATATTCGTCTGGTTGTTAGTGTACACACATTTGATCCTTGGAGGTTGGAGGCAGCCTTGGGCAGATCTGAATCTAGACTGTATGTTCGTTGGGACTAAACAGGAAGGTATGTCTTAAGTTCCAATGGAAAGAATACTTTTCAATGTGTCGAACTCGCTTTAACCAGTGCTACGATCACAGACGTCACCAGCGAGGTCTTAGGGCTAGACCGTAAGGAGAAAGCTATTGACGAAAAACGGGTATGCTTGTATTTACTACAGAGTAAACACGGAATAGTGCATGAAGATAACAGGACCCAGTGAGTAAATGGTCTACATATTTAACCACAAGCAGTGCTGTTTGTGATTGTTTATCATTCAGTTTATCTACTCAAGCTGGTATAGTTGAACTGAGGCTTGAAATCAAGACCACTGATTCAAAATAAAGTTCTCAGTTCAAATGGAACCATATCTCTGTCAGAAAAGGCGTTAAAATGAAATATAAAAAAGGATAAGGAAGGCAAAAAAGGTTGACAAAATATTCACCGTCAGGAAAGTTGCAGTGCAGTTGTACAAGAAGTGTGAGGGCCGTCACTGTTATTTTCAACTAAGAATTAAGATACCATAGGCCATCTACAATTCGATTTATAAACGTCTATAATAATCTCGAATGCGTTCAGCACAATTCTACAGGGAATCTTTATGTCCTGGTATATCTGTGATAGCGTCTCTAACTGCAACACTGAATGATAAAGTATCATGCCATCTGTAAATGTGAACTAGCTACCACTACTTTTAATAATGAGAAAACTGACTTTCATAGATCAGTTTAGAAATACAGGTACCAGATACAGGTTTGTCCGTTTAGAGAATCAGTTTAATTTCAAGTTAGTGAAGTAAATTTGCGTGAATTACTGAAGCAAGATTCAATACCAGTGCTCAATAAAGTGTCTCTGAAACTTAGTGGATGTGATGCTTCATGTGAGATAGAAGCATCAATCCGTGATCCTCCATATCATATACCATTACTTTGACTTAACTTAGTTAGACTTACGGCCTTCAACAGTGGGATCCTGTTAAATAATGGAGCTGTAAACCCAGTTACATGAATAAAAATCTTCAATTGTAATCAATCATAGGATTGCTTTCTTCACAGTTTGCCTGTTTTTTTTTTGGGTGAAGAAAGCTTTTCTGTTAAATTTCAGACATCGCATTGATCTACATACAATGCATAAATCACTTTTTGAATTCTGAATTTGAAAAAAAAGAAATTAAATAAGTACACTGAATAAACACATTTGCTTCAATGAAGTTGTAAAGGAAAGCTAGACCTGAAAGTTGATACTCATAAGTACTTTCTTCAAAAAAAAGAAATTTTAAAAAAACATTACACCACTTTCTTTTCCCACTCGACCACTTTTTAACTGTTTTTGAAAGAAAAAAAAAGGAAACAGAAAAACAAAATAGCACAGGGATAAACGGTAATGGGGTGACGTTGATCAGATGGTATTTGACACACACAAATAACCAATAATCGTTTCACGTCATAAGTATTACAAAAAATATACCAAAATGAGAAAATGGCTAATCTATGAAGTAGGCAGACAAATAGACAAAATGACTACTTGTAAACACTTGAAAAGCAACATACTTCAGAGAAGGAAAAAAAGGGGGGACAAAAGAAAACAGCCTTTTGCTTTATTTTCATTTATCAATAACATGTTCAGATTAACAAAGAAATAATTAAAAGTGACATTTGCTGTTCAAGGTACAACAAGAGAGAACAGAAAGGAAAATAAAAATCTGTGACATACTAAGCAGTTTTGTGTTTTTCACATATGCATAATTGTATGCTGTGGTAATTGCAGACATTAACGTTTGTGAAACACATGATTAGAATTTTATGAAATAATAAAGTCGAATCATTGATCACTGGAGAATTCTTACGGATTTTTTTCATACAACGTGATGCCTTGACTATCTTCATCAAAACAAGAGGAATAGGATATTCACTATTTGCATAATTTAATCAAGGATAACTGTGTGGTTATCGAGCTACTACTAGCGCTAGTACGATGCGCTGCAAACTGATGTAAAGCACCTTCACATAGTCAGCAGACAGCTTTATTGTGATGTACTTTTGTGATATTTAGTACTCGTCAGTGATTCACCTCTCTCTAACAGTGGGTTGTTTGCATCCTCTCTACATAAAGGTCCACTTGTATAATTGTAGACAAAAAATATAAAGGCAGTAAAACGACTATTAGAACAACTTTTGAAGAGAAATGACAAAGCAACTAACATGGTATAGGGCTGTGTCTTAGTGTAGTTGGGAGAATTTAGTAAACTAGCTAGCAAATGCTTCTAAGAGTTAACATTTTTCAGTTTTATGCTAATGATACACTGAATAATATATATATATGTATATATACATATATATATATACTGCAGCGTGTATCAAGTAATACTTATAATGGTGCTGTATAATAAAAATCTTCCACTGATATTCAATAAATCTCTATCAAGACGTTTCGCTGGTTACACTATAAGTGAAGCTTACAATAAATCTTTGGTTTTGTCAACATGCAGCTGTCTAATCATACTAGTGTTCGGCATTTTGTTATGTTAACCAGATCATCAGTTTTGTGAATGCTGGATTGATTTATCTTGTGGTGATAAGATTATTTTTCTAGTGCTTTGAAGTTTCCGTAGTGACTGGATTGATTTTCCGGGGTAGGGTCGCTAGCCCCACGCCTCATCTTCCATCGTTTTCCGGGCATAGAACCGGCTGGAAAACTAGCGAACTAGTAAACACATATTCCTGAGAAAATGGAAATGGATAGGACATAAGTTGAGGAAACGCTGGTTGGCATCGCGTGCCAGGCCCTCGAGTGGAACTTGAGTAGGAAGCGACAAGTTGGGCCTGAAGGAGATCGTCTGAGGAGGAGATGAAAGCTCATTGAGCAGTTGATACTCCAGCTTCGAAAGAAGGCAGAGAGCAGGTCAAAGTGGAGATGTGCTCTGGAAGCCTCATGTTCCACTCTGTACCCAAGAGAATAATAACAATGGTTGTAAGCAGTATCTTAGATAATCGTCGGGTGATGTTCTCTACATTTAGCGGACTAATACAGCGTCAGCTGAGACTTCAACCGAGCAATTAGTCTCTCCACTTCGAACAGAGAAAATCAAAAAGAAACATGATTACTGCACAGGGATGTTTATAGGTTGAAAAGTAGTTCGTTCAATTAACTGATTTTCGTCTAATTTCACTGTGTTTGTTCTTATCAATCTGTTCCCTTTTATTCAGTTCAAGCTTTCTTTTTTGTGAAAATAGAAACAAAAGGATACAACAACAATACTTTCATCTTTGGAACCACAAAATGAAATTGTTCAGTGTTTAATTAAAGCTGAAGAGACATTGAATTATTTATGCGACACAGGGAATCAATTAGTCTTTGAACGAGTATATTCAATGGATAAGATACAAAATAAAATCTTTTTCATGAAAAATAGGTTAGTTCTGTTTTACATAACTAATACTATTATTTCTTTTTCATTTTCCAGTATTCATCTGACTAATTAAACGATCAGTGACTATCGTTTAGCGGATAACAGAAAACAAAACTACTGTTGCTTACAAACAGATGAGACACTAGAGAGCTCAGACAAACTCTTCCACTTATGGCAATGACAGATTGACAGTCATAGAGATAGGTTCCTCACATACCACAGCGACATTCTAATAATGAAGCGTTTCAGCTTAGATTGAGGCTAGCTGCAACTATGTCAGTATAATTTTATGCAATAGTAGAGATGACTTGTCGCTTATAAAGGGAATGGGAATAGTTTGGTTCTCTCCCATGAAAAGTATCTGATTATCAGGTGTATCAAGTCAAGTGAGTCTACCTGCACTTACAAATTGAAAGCAGGGAAATATTTCTCTGCACATAAGGAGATATTCAGTACATATGTGCTCAGATTCAGTTTGCATTTTGAAAAGACAAGGGCTTTTGTCCTGTTTTTTTTCAAATTTCATGTGATTGGAAATAAGGTCTTGATGTCATGAGTAATTCACTTTTGTCACTGAACTGTGATTTGTTTTCAGTTGGTTAGTTACTTCTGAGTAACCTTCTGCACACTGAGTCCGATTACACATGCCTGTCAGTTATCATTGCAATGTATTTAATAAATCTTTTAGACCTTATTCTACCACACAATAGCACCACTGATAAATCACTTCACCCACGTGCTTAAATAAGTGATGTGTCAGGTTAGTAAGTATAATGACGTCCTTAAATCTTGATTGTATTGCTTTTGTGTTCTGATGATAATAAATCCTTGATCTTATGGGAAAAACTCTGTTATCGATTACTCTGTCTGCACACCATATGACGTCATCTGATGACTTTTCATACGTCCATAACATGTAGCAACCTTATCCTGCTGGTTGAAGTGAATCATTTGACCAGTGTTCTGATGAAAAGCAGTTGCTTGTTGAAGACGAATGTCGAAGTATTGGCTATAAGCACTTATCCAAAGCAAATTTTATATGAATCTTGTTGTTAGTTGATTATTTTACTCAGTTCTGTTCACAAGGGTAATTTTTCAGGTTATAGGTGTGACAGTTTCCGTTTAAAATCCCTTCAAGTTGTTTCGCTTTTGAGTTAAAACAATAACTACTGGTATTATTTGTATTTCTAGGATATAATTCGATAACTTTATTCGTCTTCTTAGGGGTTTATTTCCCCCAGGATTTCAATTAATGAGAAATAACGTGTTATCTATTTTACTGCTATTAACCAAAATTCATGATCCAAACTCTAAGTGTCTTAATAAAACTACGATTAACCTCAACGATACACTAGGTTAAGAATGACGATGAAGCAAAAAATCTTCAGTCTATGGTTTCGTTAATAAAGTCCTAAAGAGCACCAGAAACGCAACACTCCAGATAGTATATCCTATATAAATGGGCTCATATAGCTTGGGATGTTTGTACTACTTCTACAATTTCGTTCCACTTAAAGGCCTTCAAATTCCTAAACATCCTCAGTTTCTTTGCCGTTAACAATTTATAGTTGAGAGCATACAACTTTTAACTGATATGAAATTCTTCGCTTGTCAAAAAGTGCTGTTATGAAAACGTTATTCTTCATACGCAATGCGCAAACTTCTGGAATAACGTTATTTTCCTTCTTTATTTTATTCCTTTGAGTGAGTGGAGCATTCAGGGCTTCAAGCTTGAGCTTTGAAGTTTCGGTGGCATTGATGTTGATTTTTTGGGGGATGTGGTAGCTATCCTGACGCTCAACCTTCCCCTTTGCCTGCCTGACTATATATATATATATGACTCAGTGACTAATTATTTTCTACAGTGTTTGTTAATTGTGCTATTACGGTGATTCAGTGGCAGACTGCTTGGTAAAAACCCACGTGATCGGAGGTTCAATACCCGGCAGTTTATCAGAACTACTAGTAATTCATTTTGATCTGTATACTTGATTGTGTAATTCACTTTCCTCGACTTCATTTCACGGAAGCATAGTAAATGAAGGTGGTTTTCAGATTATTTTGATTAGGAGTCCATAATTTAATAAATAGGAGAAAAAACCACATAATAAAACTCAGGGACAGTGATTCACTTATATTCAGGTCCCATTGTTTTATTTGTCCTTTTTTCTATTTTTTAAACTGTGGCGTTTCTTTTGCTTTTGTTAACTATCTATTCAAAGGGTTTCTTATTGAGCCAATGGGTATATACTACTAAACTTTGACTTGTTCACTTTTATTTATCTGAACACCCTTGTAAACTACTTACGCGCTATTCATTTAATAGTGTTCTCTTTAATTTTTGATCTTATGTTTATTTTTCGCAAAGTGTGTGTATGTTTATGACAGTAATTGCAATTGAAAATTATGTAGTGAAATAAAAAAGCAGTTATTGTCTTCTTTTGTTCAGTATAATTTTTCGATTAACTAATGCGCTTAATTTGTAGAATAAGGGGAAGAAGATTGAAAGGTTTGTTTTCGTGTTTTTACTTCTTGAGTATGTTTATGTATCCTTTCGTCATCTTCATCTGCATGTCTATTTCCAGTGCTTTAGTGTGTGGATTAGGTCGCTAAAATCGTATGATACTACACATACAATGGTTGCTCACAGAGAATATCTTATTACCACCGTTTATTGTGACCCTAATTATGGACTTGTAGTAGGTCATACCATGACACTGGTGGATGTTTTAAGTTTATTTAGGCGGTACAAACTCCAATTTTCCACCACAGAGACAAAGAAATGCTTTTGTTTCTGAAAGCGTTCAAAGTAATCTTAGTCGCATAGAATAGCTTTAGTGAGTAAATCTATTTGGAAAAGTGGTTTACTGATGGCAAACAATCACTTATTTATTATTTATCTATGAAACAGCTGGACTAAACTCCCACTGATGTTGATATCATTCGGGTTCTCTAAGCCAGAATGCAGGAATATCACCGGTTCAAATGCTACTATGGTCGTTTAGGTATTCTCTATGTAACTTCAGTCGGCATCATATTATGATGAAATTGTTTTTATTTTTCGAAACAGCTGTTATTTGTGTCAAGTGGTCATAAAATGCAATCAATACTAACAGAGATTGATTGAAGTGGATATTTGTAGGGAATTATCAAAGTTCCTAAAAGTTTATATACCTTAGAGTGATACTTAAAGTAGTGAGTATTTAGTTAGTTGGGCATATTTACAAAGTTTTCATATTTTGCAATTACTGATTATTTCTATACTGAGTTTTAAACTTATGGGGAATTGATATTTTTATGTTCCAGTTTCCTATATGTTCGACTTACTTATACTGTAAGCGTAATTTGAAACATATTCCTTTAAATAAACAGAGTTTCATCCTACCATGCTTGTTACAACTCTATTCCGTATTCCTGTTAAAACAAAAAGACTAAAATGTAACTCCACACTATAAGGGAATATTTCACTTCGCAGTGTGCAATGCTATTTTTATTTTGGACATTAAAAATCGCTTCAGTTTGTGTTGATATCTTAGAAGCCATTTGGAGACATTCATCGAGACGTTTTTACTGCTGATTGTTATATCTTTCAACATCTTTATTGCTTAGTATTCTAGCTTCTCAAGTATACACTTACAGGTTGAGAAAATTGATTTACCCAAGACTGAAAGTATTTCGTTAATAAGAAAGGTGTGTTGAATTCAGCATGCAGCAACTGACCTTCAACATTTACCGTTGGGAAATGTGAATCCCAGTGCACAAGAACGCTGTTCCGCTTAGTCTACTATCCAAGTTAAGCACCTATTCGATAGGCTTCGGCCAGCATTACTGGCGAGAACAATTACGGTGGTTCCTGTCTGGTGATGAACAATCATAAGAAATCCACTTTTTAGTGGAAGTAAAGTCAGTAATATTTTCTAAAGGAAATCAGGCTTCTGAGAATTTAGGGATACTCTTAGATGCTAAATTAATTTGATCTTCTCATTCATTTTAAAGTCAACACTAAAATTTATGATTGTTGCATTTGAGGTAAATACTTGTTTTTTTAATAATATATATCGATTTGTCTGTTGTACATTTATCCTGTCTGCTCAACATATCATGCTACTTATTCAATTGATTATTTTTCCCTTGTGTTCAAAGTGGAACACAGGGCTTTAACAGTGCCTCTCCACTTTGTGGTGTTCTCTGTGGTCCTTTTTAGCTGACTCCACGATTACCTGTCGCCTCTCATATCTCCTTCACACGATTTCCTCGATGCCACGTAAGGAAACCCAAGGCATCGTTTCCCATCCGGGTTCTACTTCAGCGATGGCCTGGCGCGGGGCGCCATCCGACTTTTGATCAGTGTTGAAAATCTGAATCTTTTTTATGCCAAGTGAAGTAGGTTCCCAGGCCAATTTCTGAACCTGGATCTGGCATCATCTGTGCCACATGTGGCTCAAGCTGCTGCCTGGGTAAGCTAGAAAGTTGATTTCATCCGTTTGTAGTGACTGCTGCTTGTTGTTGATTGGTTATATTCACCACCTCTGTCTTCTCTATGTTCACCTGAAGCCCTGCCCTTGCTGCTTCTTCTGATGGCTTGTTGGTTTTCGCCTGTAAGCCTTCAAGTGTATGTGACATAAATAATCCGTGGAGTCCAGATCCTCTAGAGTCTTCGTATTTTTATTTCCTTCCCGTTCCCCAATGGAACATAGGGCTTCAAGCTAGTGGCCTGAAGTTTCTATAGCAGTGTTTATTTTACAGGATGGGGTTGCTAGCCTCATACCCAACCTTTCCTCTTCACCAGCATTATTTCTGGCTTAGCGAGGTAAAGGAGTGCGTTGGCAAGGGATCGAACCCCGGACCGTGTGTATGGTCGGCGAGCGTCCTAACCACTATGCCATCGAAGCAGAGTCTTCGTATTGGTCTGACATATTTCCATCTTCTCGCTTGACACGGCCTGTTGCACAACCTAGTGCATCACAGTTAGGAATATTAGTGGTGGTAATAGGTAGCTTTAT